GACTTTAAAAGAAAGAAAATATTATAATTTTGTGTTTTGTTTTGATTATTCTCTACCCACCACACCCCTGCTGGGGAAAAAAAAAGAAAAAACCACACAGTTTAGTAATTAAAAATCTTAATTTTCTTAGAATCTTCTTATGACAACTCCCTCTATGGCAACCAGTATTGTTGTCCTGCTAGAAATGCTTGTTTTGTCTGTTGGGTTATATTTTTTCGTTTTGAATGAAGAATTTTACTCTTGTACTCTATTTTAATATTCATTGCTTTAGCAGACTGGAGCCCCTTGATCTTTTTTTGATGGCTTTGGGGTTTCATAGAATGAAAAATAGAAGTAATATCTGCAGGTTTGGAAAACCTTTGACCATGTGCAGAGAGCAGATCTTTTTAGATTTATGGGCTATTCCTGGCCAGGTATGTACATCTAGTAATTGGTTAAGATTATTAAAAAGAAAATAAAGGAGTGTTAGTTGCCTTTGGATAAAAGACAAGCCAGCAAAATGCTGGGACCTTTCTTGTTAGAGTTCATGGTTTAGTGAGACTATTGATGAGAGTTGATTTCCATTAAGAATGGAAATCATTTGTAGAAATTGGAAGATGAAGATTTAAGGTTCAGGATTAGGATTAGAACAAATCTCAAATGTTGTAAATGTATGATCCCAGCAGCCATGGGTTATCTTCCAGCACCCAGCTAAATGTGGTATCATTGTCCATGAAGAATGCATTTTTGGAGCACTGGTTCTGATAGTTAAGTACTGATGCCTTAATTTGTCAGGAGTTTAAGTTTCTCATAAGGTTATCAGAGGTTTTGTAAATGTCACCCCCACTCAAAAATAAAAACATCACCATCTTAGGCCCGAACTGTAGGCAGCAAATGCATTTTGCATAGTCACTTTGTGCCCTGGGTGGTTTGACAGGAGGAGAGATTTGCCTGATAAAATAAATAGTACTGAGAGGGAGAAGAGAAACGGGTCCAGGGAGGGTTTTGCAGGGCCCACACTCCTTCCCGCTTGGGCCCCGTGGGCAGCCCCAGTATGGACAGGTGTTGAGGAGGAGCAAGTGGAGCCATGAAGAGGACTCCTTATAGCCTGAGCCTTGATGTGCACCAGAGGGAGGTTCTAGACTCCTGGTTTACCGTGTGGCTGGCCTGATGGGTACATGGGAACATTTGTACTTTGGCAAATGGAAAGAACATAGCATTTGAAGTCAGAGAACATAATGTTTTGACCCCAATCCAAACTATTTAGTCCTTCTGGGCCTTGGTTTTTACATCTGTAAGGTAGGAATATTACTAGTCTTTGCCCTTCTGGGGCAGCAGGGTTATCATGTGGTTTAGATGTAGACACACGTATGAGGAATCGAGCCGCAGTTAGCTGGTCATGGTCTGAATTACGTCTGGACTCAAAAGGAAAAAAAGGATGCTAGAGATGAACTGCCATGTAATTAGTAGTCTTTTCTCCTAGTGACATAAATAGAACCCATGAATCTATCCTGTGGGGGACATATTTTCAGAACAAACAAGTTTTTGTTCAAAAAGTTAAGTGGAGTATGTCTAGAACCCTGCACCTGGGCAGTGGTGGGGCATCCTTCACCAGAAGCAGCTCGGAGAGTTGAACTGCAGTGAGGTGGAGTAGTTCCCGAGTCTGGAGTCCATGCTTCAGTCCTGTGCAATTCTGGCTCCACGGAGAGCAGCCCCACGGTCAGGCTGGTTGATCTGAGGGGCATTGGGCTCAGCACAGAGAAGGGAGCAGATGGCGGACAGCCTCCCGCGCCTAACCCTTCCCTGCTGGACCTTCTTCACAGCGTGGTCATCTGACCCGCCCTCTGCTTTTTGTGTAATGCACGTTGTTCCACCACTCCTACCTCAGTAGAACTCAGGTGCCGTGAGGGCAGGGACTCTTGGTCTGCCTTGTCCACTGAGTGTCAAGAGCAGTTCCCAGTACACAGTAGGTGGTCAAATATTTGTAAAAAGAAGGAACGTTGGTTCTAATTGATATATTGAAGTAAATGTCTACAGACAGGCCTATAAGCAGTAGATGCAAGAAGGTAAGTACGGAATAAGCATTAATAGAACACCTGCTTCCAGGGATCCCTGGGTGGCTCAGCAGTTTAGCGCCTGCCTTTGGCCCAGGGCACGATCCTGGAGACCCGGGATCGATCCCACATCAGGCTCCCGGCATGGAGCTTGCTTCTCCCTCTGCCTGTGTCTCTGCCCCTCTCTCTTTCTCTCTCTCTGTCTACCATGAATAAATAAAATATTAAAAAAAAAAAACAAAACAAAACACCTGCTTCCCTGTGAAAAGTGACAGCCTGTTCCTGTTTATTTTTGGATTTTTTGAACTGCAGGTGGGCATCGCGGTGCACTTCACTTCCTTTTTTATTTTTGTTTTAACACAGCAGTAATACTGACGAAGATGGAGTCCTCAAAACCAACAAGCAGATTTACTCCCAGCTTTTGAGAGCTACTGCTAACAAAAATGCAACTCTTCTGGAAAGAATCGACGTGCTCCTCCATTTGCTGGATCAGCTTGCTCGAGGTGGCGGTGGCGTGCAGTGACTCGCGCCTGACGCTCCGGCCGCAGAAATGCTGTCAGGCAGTGCCTTCCACTCTTGGAGGCTAGTTTGTCCATTCGGTGCTTCGTTTTATTAAATATGAGGGAAATAGCCACTTAAACAGGCTCAGCAGTGGAAACACAGATTCTCTCTTCCCATGACAGATCATGGTTGAGTTCTTTGACTTCTTCATCTGAAGTGCTAAAATCAGAATCAGACTTCGAGCTCCCAGCAGTTCTTTCTTTGAGAAGTGCAGGGTACCTCAGTGTTGACACACACGCTGTGCTGCAGGTACACTGCTAGACAGTTCTGAAATATGTTAAGCTACGTGAGTTTAAGATAATTATTTTGGATGATGTTACTTTGGTCAAGGAAACTTTTATCCAGATGATTTTAGTGGTTCCAGTGGGTTAAGGAAATGTCCTGTGCATCTACGTGTCTCCTTCTTGGTCGCACAGAAGGAAGCCCGCTCTCCTTCAACATCAGCGCAGCAGTTTGTGGAGACTGGCCATCGTGCGAGTTTCTGTATTTAGTGCATGTTCGGAAAGGATCCGCTTTTCTTTGACTTTGTATGACAGTTGATCAAGAATAGGTACTATTCCCCCCCACCACCACCTTTTTTTTCATGTTAAACTTGAAACTGTGAATAAGGTAAGAAAACTATTTTGAATAAATAAATTATTTATTTAAAATGTCTTCGTATTCTTCCATTTCACATTATTCACTTTGTAAAATTCATTCATTAAACCAGTTTGAATCAAAACTCGAAAGATTAAAACATTAAAAAATTGTGCCACCCACTGAATTCTCACTAGAACATCACACTCGTTACTTGCCACTGTTGCTGTGCAGCTCTTGTCCGGTTGCATACAAACTTCTCTATTTATTCTTTTCTGTGCCTACAGCGTGCGATGCTGCACTTGTCCTGTCAATCTCAGGGAACAAACATCAAGCATACCCTTGCCTGTCGGGTGGATGGTCGGGACGTTAGGCGTGAGGCCTTTGTAGACAAGAGCTTGCCCTGCCTCCAGGTCCAGAGTGCCAGCCTGACCTCCTCCATGCCATCTGCAGGTCCCTTGGGCTGCCGATCCTGCACTTTGGCCGGCAACCCGTCCGCTCACCAGCCACACCTCTCCGGAGGAATCGGAACTATACGGAAAGGTGTCTGGAATAAACTTGTTTTAAGCTGAATTTTTACAGATTGGCTTTCTCAGGCACCAAAACTTTCAGGTGTTTTCCTTGGCAGTGAGGGGACTCCAATCCTAGCTGGGCAGAGCTACGGCTGGCCGTCTGTCCACTCCCTCATTACTTAGTTTGCATTTCCTTGGGACAGATTTGCATCCATTTTCACAAATCACTGAAGCATTTAGAGTTCTAAGTCATGAAGCAGATGCACAGAGTCTGCAAAGTCTCCTGCCAGGACAGCTGTTACTCCGCTTCCCCCTTGGTCAGGTGCCGTCTCCACTAGCTCAGCCTGCACGCTTCCACTGAGGTCTCATTCTGAAGTAGGCTGGTGCCGGATGTCGTGTTCCCGGTCTTGTTTTCTGGCCGCTCCTTGGCTGAACAGCCTTTTCGTCGAGAGGAATACTTGTTTTTAAGCAAGAAGATCCCAATTCTGGCTGTCTTCCCTTGTCAGCAAGAATACGAACATCCCTACGGGGGAAGGAGATGTCTTTTTAAAAATGTTCTTGTAGTCTGCAGATTTTACACTAGTGCTTCTTGAAGTGCTGGTGTCTTAGCTCACGGGACGAGAACTGGGCCGCCTGTGGCCTGATCGCCGAGAGGACTTGTCTTGAAGTGACTTTCGGTCCAGGGATGGAGAGGAGGTGCCAGGGCGCTGACTGGCTGGAGCGAGGCGGCAATGGTCACCGGCAACCACTGGGTCTGACTTTGGGAAGGACACAAGCGTGAACCAGAGTTTCCCTGACTAGAAACGTGCACAGTCGGAGGCGCCCTGACACAGCTATGAAGCTCAGAGAAATACATAGAAAACCTTCTGTACGCTGTCAAGTATTTGAAAAATAGAAATTGCCACGACGGGAATTGGGTGTAGTCGGTCTGGAATCCGACCTTTCCCACCAAATCCCCACGTTCTCGGTGCTTCCAGGGAGCTGCATTCCCTTCCACGACTGGACCCTATGGTTGTGGCTACGTCCCCATCCACCCATGAAACAGGTGTAGGGGTGGACAGACAGGGATTCCTCAGGATTCTTTTTTTTTTTAAACCTTTCCTAAAAGATTGCTAAAAATCATTCCCTGAATAATTTTTTTTTGCCTGAGAAATTGACTTTTAAACCAAATATTTCAAAAGTTTGAGTAATGCTTTTTCCATCGCATTTTAGCCCTACTTGCTTTGGTTACTAAACATCTGGCTTGTTTTCTTTGTAAAAGAAATCAGACTTTCTCTTAGAAGAGAAATCCTTTGAGTCCATTTGCCTATTTTTCTCATTACACAGTCAGGGTGGAGGCATGGACGTCACAAATGTCAAACCACCGCTCTGAGATTGACTGCTTTGGAAATAAGCCGTTTGAAGGAAGCCAAGAATGCTGTTGTTTGTCCTTGTCGTTAACTACTTTCCAGTATGCACTGCCTTTGAAAAAGAAAAGGGAGTTGTGTGCGTAGGAGTAATAGGCTGAGTCTATATTCCTGAAGGGATGGTTCTGTGGCTCTATTCCCGGAAACACTTCAGTGATCTTCATTGGATAAGAATCAAGTACTTGATTTCTATTGACGTCAAATGCAAACACCTGTAAAGCCAAGTGAGAAAGTTAAGACTGGCTTTTCTGAAAACTATTGATTTTTAGGTTAATTTATAGGAATGAGGTAATAAGTAAAGCTGTGGCTTGGCACCAGACTCTCTGGACTTGAAGTTCTTTCATTTTCTGTATGATGGGGTCTGCTGTGGCCAGAGAGGTCTGAGGCAATTGAGAACAACTCTGAACTAAAAACTTGAATTTTAAGTAGGGGACACAGAAGCAACACCAGGCTGGAAACCTCCTACTTACTAGGGACTCTTTGAAGAAGTAAATTAACTGCTTTCTTCGGTCATAAAAGGCAGTGTCCAGGGGGCTTGGGATGCCAGGAAATCCTTCTGAAATCAATTTGGGGTAGCTGTTTCCTTGTTCATCTTCTGTGTAGGCCTGATCCTTGTCACTGTCGTATCTCCAGTACTGATTTCCTGACCAAAAAAAAAAAAAAAAAAAAACTAAATTACCATTTAATTACAGCCAACGATGAAGAGGGACTGCTTTCAACACAGGTCTCAGTCAGCCATGACCCCAGCGGCTAAGGGAAGCCTCCGCTGCGATGAATGATTCCCCAGGTCTTGAACTACTAGATCCCAGTAATCACTGCTGCTGTTAAAAATGACGGTTGCCTTTTGCACGGCACTCCAGCCCCCGAGCGCTCATCAAAAGCAACAACAAAAGGACAAAAATGTGGTCTTTTTCACATAAGCATCTTACTCTTTTTCATCTTCCTACATAGTCTCAAGATTTTCCTTTTACACGTTAGAGACCCATGGGTCGTCCTGAATCCTTTTCCTACCGTCATCAACATGAGCCCTCTTTTTACAGAAGACAACCATAATGCTTCTGATGGGGTTTTGCTTTCTTTCAGTGTTTTAGAATCCGGTAGTTCCCCCACCAAGCCCATGGTACCAGTGAGGGAACTGGAGGAGAGAGCTGAAGCGATAAAAGAATCCAGGTTGGCAGCCTGGGCCTCCCGCACTCCAGCCACGCCGCTCCACCCACTGTCCCGAAGTCCCGGCGTGTCATTTGGCTCTGTTTCTTTTCAAGCCCCACATGCTAATTCCATGCTCTGAAACAGCACAGGATTCCAAGCTCTCCTTATTAGTCCCTAATCCTGAATATTGGCACACTGTCAGCATAAATTAGAGCAAGTCTACAGAGTTAGATATTTTTGTGTTCACGACTTACACCACATCACAGCCTGTTACATTCCTTAGCAACGAACCACGTGAGGCCTCCCTCTCCCTCCCTCACCCCCACCCCACCCCACCCAGGAAGGTTCGCCATCGAGAAAGAACAGTGATGTGTGTCCCGCCGAGGGTGCCATTCAAACTGGAATACTTTTTTGAATTTAAAGTATTCACAGCAAGTTCCCTTTAATAAGATGTTTTTAAAGATCCAAGTATAAAATCCAGCTGAATGGTAGCAATCCCCCCGATGACCTAATTCTATAATTGAGAGTCCCCGAGTGTCGCCAATATAAATTCTAGTCCAGGGCCTCTTACGGCCCTGAAAGCTGTGCTTCCAACTCTGGAAGACGAACTAGGACGGTCCACCCTGGGCAATTTCTTGATGTCACTGAACTAAAAGAATTCTTCCTTTGTGTGATGTAAGGACAATTAAGGCCAAATTCATACGCTGGTTTCTTACAGCAAATCCGCATGAAGCGTCCTTTCGGTTGGGCTCTTGCCTCACTGAGTCCAGCGCGATTTAAGGCAATAGGGTCGTATTACCGGGAGTCGGGCAGAGAGGACACGGCTTACCTCTAGGGCGTAAGTTTGGGGAAGGGGAAGAGAAAGTAGCAACCACAGAATCTTGTTTGTGGTTAGATATCTGGTTTGCCAGGGCGGCCAGCCTCGATGACGGGGACACAGGCTCTGGGCACGGCGCCCTGTGAGTGAGGGGAAGCAGCAGCAAGAGAGCCTTGGCCTGCCTGCTCTGTGTGTCCCCCACCCCAGATCCCCACCCCAGTTTCCACCTTCCAGCAAAACACTGATCCTTCCTGCTGGGAAACTGCACAGATTCCTCAGTGCCACTGGGTGAAGTCCAGGCCCTGAGCAGGGAGGCTCTCGATGCCCAGGCCGACCCTGACTTTCCAAACTAATCTCACCCTATGTGACCCTGTCGCACCTTCACAGGCTCAGCTGTCCCTCGGATCTGCGTCTTCATCCTCGCTCACTCTGAAGCCCACCCCCTGCCCCTCACCTGCACCTCCCCCATCTCACTATCCCCGGTGTCCCTTTCTGGGCACCCAGGGACCTGCGCATCCTCCAAGGTGACTCCAGCATCTGGTTCCAGGCGGCAGTGGTCACCTTGTCCGCTCCCCCTCCCTTGCACCACATAACTCTAGCAGTCGGCTTCTAAGGTCTTTTCCCTCCAGAACTAGTTAAAACCTCTGAAGGGAGGGCCTGTCCTTACGGGTCTTCGGCAACCACCTCAGGGCCTGGCACAGTTGGTTCACCACCCATTCATTCGTTCAGTTGTGCATGTGAGGCATTCAGGGCCTTCCTGCAGAGATCGGGGGATACGACACGGTCCCTGGGCTCACAGAGCTCACAGTCTGATGGAACAAAGGGCAATGGGGTGCGTAACTGCAAGGGCATGAGACTAAGCTTCCCTGGGATGGGGCTCAAAGATTTGTTCTATAATAAAGAAATAGAGCTGTCCATAAGAACCTCTACCTTTAAAAAAATAACGTTCGTCTCTTCTCCACGTCCAGAGGTGGACAAAAGCGTCGATGTGTTGTGTTGGGATCCCGTGCCAGCCACTGAGGATTTGGATAGGATCCCCGTAGCGCGTCCGGTTGTTTCGATTTTCATAAAGCCAGTACCAGCTGTTGCGGAAAAAGTAGGTGCTAAATCTCATCCTCACGGCCCCATGTTGGTTCCTCTCCTTGCGAATCCAGTCAAACACGGTATCGAATGATCCTTCACATGAACCTGAAAAAAGAAAAAAGCCCAACCACTCGTCACCTGGTGCAACAGCTGCTATGTTCATGCGTGACTCGAACAGAGACAACTTCGAAGATTGAGTTTTCCACTGAACTGTCCTAAAGCTAAAGCACGACGCCACACGAGATTGGCAGTGGGCCTTCCCAGCCCAGCAGAAGGAGCTGGAGGGGGCACGCGGGCTGCCGCAGTGCGGCTCGCACGGGCCCTTCTGGCTAACCTGCACCCAGGACACCGGGTCACTCTCTGAAGGTTCTCGATTTGGATGCTGGTTATGTGATCACCCTAAATACAGCTGACGCCTCTTTTTCTTTTTAAAGATTTTATTTATGAGAGACACGAGAGAGGCAGAGGCACAGGCAGAGGGAGAAGCAGGCTCCACGCAGGGAGCCTGATGTGGGACTAGATCCCAGGATCCCGAGATCACGCCCTAAGCCAAAGGGAGATGCTCATCCCCTGAGCCACCCGGGTGCCCCTAGCTGATGCCTCTTGATGGCTCATCTGACTTCATTAGAGGCAAGAAGTTTGGTTCTGGGCACAGACGAGAGTAAGACTTCCTCTGATGGAAATAAATGCATCCTGGCGTTTAGGATGCTGAGAGCTTCTTTGCATAGAATGGTTTGCGTGGAACAGAAAGGGGGGTGCTCTCCGTTTTGAGTAAGAAGGGGAAGGGAGCTTGCTTTCCCTACAGCCTCAATGCTAGGTCATGAATCACTTCAATTAAGTAATGAACCATCAGGCAGCCCGGGTGGCGCAGCGATTTAGCGCTGCCTTCGGCCCAGGGCATGATCCTGGAGTCCTGGGATCGAGTCACACAACAGGCTCCCTGCGTGGAGCCTGCTTCTCCCTCTGCCTGTGTCTCTGCCTCTCTCTCTCTGTGTGTCTCATGAATAAATAAATAAAATCTTTAAAAAAAAAAAACAAAACCATTAACACTTTGGCCTGAACAATTAAAAACCGACTGAAGTTGATCCGGACAAGGTTTCTGCTGCCCTTTGCCTTGGGAAGGCAGGAAACTTCTCCCAGGGGCCTCCGGTGCCTGCAGCTCCCAGGGGGTGCCACCGCCTGGGGCCCACCCCACTGCTCTTTAGGAAACCACCACGTTCTGCTCCTTCCTGGTAGCACACGGAGGCAGGTCACAGGAGGGACCACCGTGGGCGTGCTCGCTCGGCCCCCGCGGCTACGGGTGGGGCGAGACCACCTTTAGGGAAGAGAATCGGCCTCACGGAGCTGTGCTGTCCGGGTCAGGCTCCCGGGCAGGAACGCTCTAGAATACGGTGTGTCCTCTGTGAGCCGCGGAGGAGCTCCCAGAACATTCTATCTTACCGTACAGCTTCTGAATTGCTTTTCTGTCTGACCAGTCCAGCTCAAACACGGGCTCCTGCGGAACGTAGTTGGGCTGCATTATGGATCCCGCCCTGTAGGTGTGCGGCAGGCCGAGGACGTGGCCGATTTCGTGGACGGCCACCTGGAAGGGAACACACGCCCGGGGCAGGGCCAACCCGGGGCTCTCAGTGTCACGTGGACCCCCCACCCACACCCCAGGGCAGGACCGGGAGACTTGGGGCCTTTCTGCAAAGGCTGCGGCCCCCCGGAGCAGCTCTGGCCGCCAGCCCGCGCCCCACCGCCCTTTGCCGCTCACGGCAGGCGAGCCGCTGGCGCCCACGTACTTTGAGGAGGCTGATGCCCGCGTCACTGGTGGGAGGCGTGAAGTGTTCGTCGTCGTCGAAGTGGATGTCGCCCAGGCGCCAGGCGTGGGCAAACTCCTGCCCGCTGCCATCAAAAACCCGAGGACAGCCCAGGTGCCGGCCTGGCAGGGGGAGGGGGACACAGACGGTTCGCGGCCCGGGGCTTGTGGTCCACGAGCGGAAGCAAGCCCTGGCTCGTGCAGCCGAGTGCTGGCACGCCTAAAGTCTTGGAAGACGGAGCTGCACAGCGAGCCTGGGGGAGCCCGGGGGAGGGGGACGAGGGGGGGCCCCGTCCAAAGGCCTCGGGAGGAGAGGAGGGCGCAGGTCTGAGCTGGAGCCTACCAGCTGACTGGTCAGGAGCGAAGGAGGTGCTGCCCAGGGGTCCCAGGCCCCCCAGGGTAGTCCTCAGCGCCCATGTGGGCCTCACCGGAGGGCCCTAATCCAGCCAGACCAGCAGGGCGGGCGAGCGTCCCTAGCTCCCAGGTGGGCCGCAGAGGAGTGACTTCGCCCCGCCCCGCCCCACCCGGCTGGGAGCACCCCGACGGCCAGCACCCCGACCTCCCGGAGGAGGCAGGAGTCCTAGCACAGCAGCTCCTGCGGAGGGGCTGCCGTAGGCCCAGCCCCGGGCGCCCTCAGGCCCCCCAGGGGGCTGTGCAGGTGACCCGAGTGGGGTTCCCCGGTGGCCTGGGGGTCTTGGGCTTCTCACCCCGCCCGAACGCCAGCTTGATGTCCACGGCGGCCCCGGGGGCGGCCAGGTCCTCGCGGAAGTCCAGCGGCATCACCTCGCTCCACATCCTGAAGGCCAGCCTGAGGATGCGCCTCTGCTCGGCCTCGGCCAGCTGCCCGCTGGCGCCCTCCCCCAGCAGCCGCCAGCTCAGGGTCCGCTTGGCGAAGGCCCGGGGCACCCCGCGCGGCGCGGCGACCTCAGGCGGCGGGGCCCCGGGCGGTGGCGGCGGCGGCAGGAAGCGCTTGGGGCGCGGCGGGGCGGCGGGGGGCGGCAGGGCCCGGGTGTCGGGGACCCCGCAGCGCGGCCTGTTCATGGCCGCCAGGGTGGCCGCGTCCAGGCGCCCGCTGGCCGGCAGCGCGTTGACCTTCTGGAACCTGCGCACGGCCTGGGCCAGGGCGGCGGCGGGGGGGCCCCGGGGCCCAGGGGGCGCGTCGGCCCAGCCGTACTTGGACAGGAATCGCTGGGGAGACACGGAGGCACCGGCCGGCGGGCCGGGGGGCGCGGACTGAGTGGCCAGCAAGCGGCCAAGTGTCCCCATCGGCCGCCGGGGTGGCGGGGAGGCGGACGCGCGAGGCTGGGTGTCCTCGGGGGTCTGCGTGCGGGCCTGAGCGGCCTTTCTAGTCTGGGGTACCAGCAGGTTACGGGAGGCCCCCACCTGTGGCTGTGCACACTTGCCTGTAGGTGCCCACCTGCGTGTGCACCTGTCCGCGTCTGCACGTGTCTGCAAGTGCACATGTGTCCGTGTAGGTGACCACCTGCGTGTGTGCGAGTCTGCATCGGCACATGCCTGCGTGCGCACGCGTCTGAGTGTGCCCGTGCCTGCGTGTGCACATTCCCGTGTAGGTGCCCACCTGCGTGTGCACGTCCCAGTGTCAGTGCCCACCTGTGTGTGCATGTGTCTGTGTGTGGCGGTGCCCGCGTGTGCACGTCCCCGTGTCGGTGCCTGCACGCGTGCGCACGTGTCTGAGTGTGCTGCGCCTGCGTCTGCACATTCCCGTGTAGGTGCCCACCTGCATGCGCACGTGTCTGAGTGTGCCTGTGCCTGCGTGTGCACATTCCCGCGTAGGTGCCCACCTGCATGCGCACGCGTCTGAGTGTGCCGCGCCTGCGTGTGCACATTCCCGCGTAGGTGCCCACCTGCATGCGCACGCGTCTGAGTGTGCCCGTGCCTGCGTGTGCACATTCCCGCGTAGGTGCCCACCTGCGTGTGCACGTCCCCGTGTCGGTGCCTGCACGCGTGCGCACGTGTCTGAGTGTGCCGCGCCTGTGTGTTCACATTCCCGCGTAGGTGCCCACCTGCATGCGCACGTGTCTGAGTGTGCCCGTGCCTGCGTGTTCACATTCCCGCGTAGGTGCCCACCTGCATGCGCACGTGTCTGAGTGTGCCCGTGCCTGCGTGTTCACATTCCCGCGTAGGTGCCCACCTGCATGCGCACGTGTCTGAGTGTGCCCGTGCCTGCGTGTTCACATTCCCGCGTAGGTGCCCACCTGCATGCGCACGTGTCTGAGTGTGCCCGTGCCTGCGTGTGCACATTCCCGCGTAGGTGCCCACCTGCGTGTGCACGTCCCCGTGTCGGTGCCTGCACGCATGCGCACGCATCTGAGTGTGCCCGTGCCTGCGTGTGCACATTCCCGCGTAGGTGCCCACCTGCGTGTGCACGTCCCCGTGTCGGTGCCTGCACGCGTGCGCACGTGTCTGAGTGTGCCGCGCCTGCGTGTGCACATTCCCGCGTAGGTGCCCACCTGCATGCGCACGTGTCTGAGTGTGCCCGTGCCTGCGTGTGCACATTCCCGCGTAGGTGCCCACCTGCGTGTGCACGTCCCCGTGTCGGTGCCTGCACGCGTGCGCACGTGTCTGAGTGTGCCGCGCCTGCGTGTGCACATTCCCGCGTAGGTGCCCACCCGCATGTGCACGCGTCTGAGTGTGCCCGTGCCTACATGTGCACGCCCCGCGTCGGTGCCCGCCCGCGAGCGCACGCGTCTGAGTGTGCGGCGCCTGCGGGCCGGGGCCGCCTACCTGCGCGGCGGGGAGGTCGGCGATGGGCTGCGCCCGGCGGGGCGGCGCGGGCTCCAGGGCGGGGCGGTCGCGGCTGCGGAGGAGCGGCTCGGGCCGCGCGGGCGGGGGTGCGGCGAGCCCGCAGAGCAGCAGCGCCCGGAGGACCGCGGGGGCGCCCGGCATGGCCCGGGGAGCGCGGCCCGCCCGCCCCGCTGCGTCCGGCCCGGCCCGAGGCTGTATAAGCGGCCGCGGGGAGCCCCGCGCGCCGGCCCCTCGCGGGCCGAGTGTGCGCCGGCGCGGGGCGTCCGGGGCGCGGCCCTTTGAAGCCCCCAGGGGCGCCCTTCTTGTTGGAGTGACAATGTTGGCGGCCCGCGGGCAATTGCCTCCCCAGCGGGCGCCGCCTGCGGGTCCCATTCCTATGGCGGCGGGGCGGGGCGGCAGGTGCCCCGGGGCGGGGCGGGGCGGGGCGGGGGGGGGGGCTGCGGCTGGGGGGGCCCGGCCCAAGGCGCCAGCCTCGGCCCTAGCACCCTGCGCCCTTACCGCGGGACGCAGTGGGCTCGCAGCCTGCGTCCACTTTCTTCCTAGGTTAGCTGGGGTGCGGGGTTTTTTCTCTGATCTTTTGTTTTTGTTTCTTTTTATAAAAGGAATAATCTAGGGAAATAAGGATTTTAAAAGTACTGAGGATCAAGGGGGAAATCCAGTGATTCAGGTGCGGACACTCAGGTGAACGCGCTCGCAGGTGCGGGCACCGGGCAGATGCCCGGGCAGTGTTTGTGTCCGGCCACCTTCATAGAAGTCATGTCCTCTATCCTGTTACCTAAGAGCCCGTGGACGGTCCTGGGCACCCTTCTCGGGTCCTGAATGTAGGCGTTTATCATCCGAGCTAATGGCTTGTCCTGGTCTGCGGGCCCGGATTTTTCCATGAGGTTCAACTAGAGTCACCTGAAGTTCCCGCACGAAGGAGTCTCTGGGAAAGGAGGCCCCCCTGGCAGAAGACTAGGCGGGGCCAGGCTCAGCCGCCGGCAATTTGTCACTGGTCACGTCCAGGAGCCTGAGGGAAGGGAGGAAGGCCCTCCAGGCACCACCGCCGCAGGGGAGAGCCGGGAGTGCCAGGCCACAGGTCTGACAACAGCACAGGTGCGGGTGTGGGGCCCGTCCTTTAGCTGCTCATTCATTCAGCAGACAGTCCTTGTTCTCCCGGGGACAGGGAGTAGGGAACTGAACATGACGGACTCATTCTTTGCCCTTAAGTGGAGGAGGCGGACAGTAAACAAAACAATGATGAAAGATCCCAACAGTGACAGGCGGTCAATCTTCAGGCAGCCGCGAAAGACCTCTCGCAAAGGTGGAATGGAAGCAATGGAAGAAAAGTACGAGGGATACCGTCACCCGTGATTGGGGATTCATGGGTGGTGTGGGCAAAGGAAAGGACACGTGCAAGGGCCCTGAGGCGGGCCCGCACCTGGCAGCGCGGTGGATGTCGGAGGGGGGAAGGAGGCGGGAGGGGAGGATAGGAAAGAGGGTGATGGGAAGGTGATGAAGGACCCGGAGGTCAGATAATTTGGATTCTGCCCTAAGTTCATGGGGATTTTTTGAGGAGAGTGACTTTATGGATTCATTATTTAAAGGATCCTCCTGGGGCGCCTGACTGGCTCAGAGGAGCAGGTGACTCTCGATCTCGGGGTTGTGTGAGCCCCACGTTGGGTGTAGAGATTACTTAGATACAGAGACGTTAAAGGATCTTCCCAGCTGCTCTATGGAAGAGCGATAAAAAGGGGGTGCGGCCCCCTCTGGCCGGGCAGTCCCTCCTGCGGGCCCCAGAAGCCCTTCTGTGCCAGATTGGTCTGACGGCCCTGTACCCTGAGACCCCTCATGGGGCTCCAGGATATTGGGGTTCCCGGGCAGGGCACAGTTCCAGGCTGTTCTGAGGGGACCCGTTCCCAGTGAGGGTCCTGGAGCAGGTGCTTGTCCTCACACCGGTGCTGCCGTGGCAAGGCCAGCCCCAGTGACATCGGGGGTTGTGCCCACGGGGAGCCGGGGCACCTGTCAGGCTACCCGCACAGCCCGGCTCGGTTCCTGTCGGCTCACAGATGGCAGGGGCGGGCCACGTACCAGGTGGGGACACGAGCGAGCGGGGGTGTGGGGGGCATGACTATGGAGGGGGGCGGCCTGTGTACTCGAAACCCTCCCAGGGCTGTCCAGGGGTAACGGGTCCCCGCACCCGCCTGCCAGATGGATCTTGGAAGTTTATCAAGAGGCCCTACCTGGGCCCAGTCACATAAACTGTGTGTTTTCTTGGGGGGGGGGGCGGGGTCTTTTTTAAATGTAAATTCAGTTAACGTCTGGTGTATTACTAGTTTCAGAGGTAGAGGTCAGTGACTGTCAGTCTTAGAGAACACCCAGTGCTCATGACGTCATGTGCCCTCCTTCATGCCCTCACCCCGTTACCCCACCTCCCCCACTGCAGCGGCCCTGTTTGTTTCCTATGATTACGAGTCTCTCTCTCTCTCTCTCTCTTTTTTTTTTAAGAAATATTTTATTTGAGAGAGAGAAGCAGAAAGGGAGAGCGAGCCCGAGCAGGGGGTACGGGCAGAGGCAGAGGGAGAAGCAGGCTCCCTGCAGGGAGCCCGACGTGGGACTCGATCCCGGGACCCCGGGATCACGCCCTGGGCCCAAGGCCGGCGCTCAACGGCTGAGCCTCCAGGCGCCCCGAGAGTCTCCCTCTCGGATTTCATCGTGTTTTATCTTCCCCGGCTGTTTCCCGGGGTTGCGGGGGGCGTTCCGTGCGCCCCGTCGGAGATGCTCTTGGCCTAACGCGCTTTTATCCGTTGTGTCTTCCACAGAATTAGTGTCACCGTTTGGGTCGCTTCGTTCTGTGCAGGTGTTTTCAACACCACGTCACCTGTCGAGGCCACGTCCCTGGAACAGCCTCTGGGAGCGGGAAGGGCAAGCAGAGCAGCACCCGCACCCCAAGGACCGCCTGGGTCCAGCTCCCGGGTCAGCCGGTGGGCGCGGCGCGTCTTCTCCATGACCTTCCCCAGCAGGGCCGTTCTGATGACCGAGGGCCGCCCACGCTCAGCTGTGTCCGCAGGCCCCCACTCCACCTGCCTCCTACGGACGTGCTCCCCTAGTGCCCCGAACACGGGCTGTGGATGGTGGGGGGAGGGGGGCACCCCGGGGTCAGGGCGTGGATCCCTCACCCTTCCCCTGGCACCCCTCGCTCTGCGCTGTGTGCACACGCGCGCCCCGGCACCCTCTCGATGCTGTGCGGCAATGTGTTAGCGCGGGTCTGGACCCGGTAGACTGTTGGGGGGCACGCAGAGCGTACCACCATCGCCCTAACACCGAGCGACAGCCCCCTGGCCGGGTCCCGTGTGCCCGGACAGAGGTCACATTCTCGACTCCGGCCTCGTCCTTTAGAATCTCCGAAGCCAGCCTCGGAGTGGAAGGCCCATCCGGGGTACTCACTGTGAAACCAGGCGAGGGAGGTGGGCACCCAGCGGCGTGCAGCACCTAGGACTTCCCGCAGGACGGTGGCTCGTGACGTTCACGCAGAGCCGGGGGGGACCTGCGCTGCGCCTGGGCCCGGACTCCTCGTCGCCAGAGCCGGCTTGGCAGGCGGGCTGCACCGCCACCAGGGCCCCACGCTGGTGTCTTCCCACTGCGCCGAGTCACACCTGGCGTACGTACGTGTCGGTTCCACGTGTCAGCGGGTGTGATGTGCATAGAGGTACCGGTCACGATGACACCGGCCGATCCCGTGTCAGTGTACGTGTGCGTCAGCTGTGCTTACCAACATACCGTCCCGATACGTCAGTGAACAGACATCTGAATAACTGGCTACATAGAGCCGCGCCGTGTGGACAGAGCCAGGTGCGACTGGCAGGTGTAAGGGCATTGTTCACCTTCCTGCATGACTGGGTTTTTTTTTTTTTTAATTGAAATCTCAAACGCTGAGGTGTTTTAAATTTTTATTTGAGAGAGAGAGAGAGAGAGAGAGCACAAGCAGGGGCGAGGGGCAGAGGGAGACTCCCCGCAGAGCAGGGAGCCCGATGCGGGACTCGATCCCAGGACCCCAGGATCCTGACCTGAGCCCAAGGCTGACTCTTCACCGACTGACCCCCCCCCCCCAGCATCCCTCTGACTGTGTTTTGATGAGAAGATAAATCCTAAGTGTTTTCTCCTGGGGAAACAGAAACCTGCCCGGTACGAGATTGGGAACAAAGTCGCCCAAGACCCCACGTAGCGCTCTGCTTCCTGGGAGGCCAACGTTCCGGACGCGGAAAGAATTGAGAACTCCGGTCGGCACGGGGCCCGGCGGCTGATGTCACAAAGACCGGGTTCCGCTGGGCCTGGAAGAGCAGTCGGCGCCGGTCCCATCCGTGACTCTGGCCGAAGACGGTGCTCCTGAGGGTCAGGTCTTCAAACGTGGGTGACGGCCGCCCGTGAAGAGGACAGTGGGGCCTGTGAGGGCTTCATGACGGAGGCCCTTCCTCCCGCGCGTCGTCCCTCGTCCCTGTGTCCTGTGCTTGGCCTCAGGCGGCCGGGGGCAGCCGGACTCGGGGATCGTCCCCTCTTCTCTCGGACCGCTCCTCTCCCCGGTTATTTCAAAGCCTCTGAGCAGACTGACTGGCTTTGCAAGGCTCCCAGTGTTTGATGAACCAAATTTCGTACTCCAGGTAAATTGGATTTTAAGGAAATCAGTTAATTTAGGAGGAAAAATGGCAGCGAAAAGCGTGTGATCTACAATACGGGGGGGAGAGGTGGGGGGATAGGGCCTATTCTGGTCTGCGCAGGGCACGCCTCATCTCTGAGCTTGGGGAACCCTCTGGCTGGGGGCTTCTGCAATCTGCTGAGATGGCGTGATCCAGTTGTCTGGGTCATGAGAGGACTGAAAACTGTCTTTCCCCCTCAAGTACGTGTCATTTCGTCCTTTACGAGATGGGTTTGCACATTCTCAGCCCCACGCAGCGGGACATTTTGTAAAAGACTTTCCCTCAATTATTCCCACGGGTGGGGGATCCCTGGGTGGCTCAGCAGTTTGGCGCCTGCCTTTGGCCCAGGGCGCGATCCTGGAGACCCGGGATCGAATCCCACGTCGGGCTCCCGGTGCATGGAGCCTGCTTCTCCCTCTGCCTGTGTCTCTGCCTGCCTCTCTCTATCTATCATAAATAAATAAATCTTAAAAAAAAAATTATTCCCACGGGGGATTGCAGAGCCTGATGCACAGCGAGGGGTCCGTTCGGGCTCTGGAAACCGTCGATCTCAGGAGGCCCAGGTGTCTGGGAAGCTGCTTGCACAGGGCGGCCTGTGTGCCTGGGACTTAGAGCCGCTCACCACCGCTGCTGCCTGTGAAAGGGGGAAAAGATTCTTCGTGCTCCTTCCCCTTCTCATTTCTTTTTCTCTGGAGTTTGCATTTCAGTTGCTTTTCATGCACAGAGAAGCCCTTTGCCCCCACTGCCAGCCTTGGCTCCTGGGCCTTCCCGGGAACGTGCTTTACACATAGACGGGCTGGGGTTTGGGGGTTCCCGGGTCCCCCACTGAAGGAAGCGTGCTGAGGGGGCTGGGAGGGGAGGGGGGCCACGTTCACTGCCTGCCTGCACTCCTCCGCCCAGGTGCGTGTGACATGCTTTGAGATTATGATCGCCATCGACCTGGAGATTTTGATTATCATTGGCTGCCTCTTACTGATTATCGCGTGGTTGCTGATGTGCTGCGTCCTCCGTCTCTGCTGCCAAGTGTTCAGTATATTCCAGTGAAGGGGAACGGCTGGTGGGCAGAGAGGTACGTATGACCGGTGGTGTGATTTGCTCAGCTGAGAACCTCCGGACACTTGTAAGAAATGGGCTTAAAAAAAAAAGAAAGAAATCTGGGGCGCCTGGGTGGCTCGTTCGGTGAGGTGTCTGACTCTTGATCTCAGCTCAGGTCTTGATCTCAGGGTCAAGGGCTTCAAGCCCCATGTTGGGCTCCATGCTGGGTGTGGAGCCTGGTTGAGAAAAGAAAAATGAAAAGAAATCTAATGCTTGTTATAAAATCTCCGAAGGGAAATAGGACAGTCAATGACATCGATGCAAAAGGCAAGTGACTTGGTTTGGAAGAAGGCCATCCTGAGACTCTGCTCCAGCCCCCCACTGTCCTATGGTAATTGCCGTCCCAGGAGACACGGCCTCCCCCGTGTCTCCCGGACACAGTGCTGTCGTGTGAAATACAGGCTGCTATGCTGACCCCAGTGGCCTCCTGACTGTTCTTTCCAAGTGTCTGCAGCCCCTCAGGGCAGGAGCCCTGCTGCGTCTGATGCCCAGGTACTTAGGACTCATGGCCCCAGGACACCTTTGCATTCCAGCAGCACTTCCCACCAGATAGACCTGTAACCTCAGATGTGGCGGATAAATGCTGGGCATTATTTGCTGAGACTATGCGACCCTCTGCTTATGAACCACCAGCACAAGCTCCCCATCCAGAGCTTGAGGGGGCTTCAGGGCGTTCCACAAGTAGTTTTCTGAGTTGCAGGGCTCACACCCTGGAAATGGTAGCTCAAACCCTCTTGACAGATGGGGACATGGCAACTCAGAAGGCAGGAGTGACTCTGGGTGACAGGGAGACCAGGACTCTTGAGTTTCACCCCGACCCCTCCCTCCTGGGCTTCCTGAACCCTCAGGACCCGTCACTTGCTCCCTGTCCCCAACAAAGAAGCCCAGGCTGCTTTGGGCTGCTGTGGAAGGGCTGCTTCCTCTCCTCCCCCGTACGTACCTCAGTGGGGGCTCGTATGTGGCCACTTCACAGGAGTGTGGGGGTGATGGCCCCCGGGGCCGTGTGCACCCGGCACAGCGGGCAGCAGGTGGGTCAGAGGCAGCGCGGTAGTTTGGTGGTTTAATCTGTAGCAATCCGGCCCGGCTCTGACCTGCAGGCGCAGGGTCAGGGGACCGCCCCGCCTGGCACAGGAGCTGCCAGCCCCACACGACAGCCCAGGGTGGCACAGCTGGCGTGCTCCTTACGCGGCAGCCTGTGGAAGTTAAGGCTAGGTTAGCCCTCTGTTGTCCAGGTGGTGACATTCGGTCCTGAGGCCGGCCTCGAGACCCGGCTCCAGCCACCTTGGCGGGGCTGGCACAGCTTCTGGGCGGCTGCGGGTGTTTGCATGGGATGGGTGCAGCAGAGTGGCCCCCAGGGGGCACACCGGGGCCCGGCCTCTGGGCTCCTTGGCCATGGGGGCCCTGGGGGAGGGCACTGCCTGCCTCAGTGCGGGCTGCTTGGGGCCGGCCTCTTCCCCGGGATCAGGCAAGGTGGCTCCAGCAGAAAAAGGCTCCTTGGGAACGGCAGGGGTTCAAAACTCAACTCATCAATCCAGACTTGACTTTCAGATCAGAAGGAAGTGGCGGGAGATTCTGACCCATATGCAGAAGCGTGACCACAGACCAAGATTCGGGGCCATCACAGTCCCCGCAGTTTCTGTTCAGGTCACACCACTAAATCTTACCAGGTTCTTACTATTCTACTGAGGTCACTTCGAGGGGAGGCGGCTTAGGCGCCCGACCAGTCAGGGCCTCTGTGCTGTGCTTCCGTTCCCTCGGCCCTTTGAGAGCGTCCTGGCTGGTGGCTCCCTCGCTGTGGGACCCCGAGCCAGGCCTTTCGTAAAGCCCGGAGTCTGTTTCCTCCCCAGAGACATGGGGATCGCAGTCAGGGCGTCAAGAGGGATGGGGCAGAGAGACAGAGCCCTGTGCGCAGGGCCTGGCACCCACGGATTGCTCAACGGAACCCCCCACCCCAGGATTCCGCTCGTGCCGGTGATACAGTCCCCTCTCCTGCCACCAGCTCACGTGACTGAAAGATGGACTTTGGGTGGTGCTTTCATTCCACCCAGCCCAAGTTCCAGGCCAGGACTGTAAAAGCAGAAATAAAGTTTGGGGCCAGATTTCCAGAGCCTGTGTGCAGGGCCCCGCCCCCTGCAGATGAACCCCTTCTCCGTGAACCAACCTCCCGCCTCTCGGACGCCCTGGCTGGCCGAGGCTGCGTTTTCTTTCTGAAGGAAGGAAGGAAGTGCTCTCCTTATTTGAATGGCAGTTGTCCACAGCTCACAAAGCAGGACCTGGAAGCTCCTATTTGGAGCACGAATACAACTACTTCCCACGCAGCAGATTTTATCATTTCCACCAGGTTTGGTGCTTCTCAGGACGTGGGCACATCCGTTTCCTCCACAAACGCAGCTTTGCACGGAAAACACTACACAGCAAGTGACAACACACTCAGCGTGAGGAGCCAGGGTGGTTTATTTGGTTTTCTTCCCGCTGCCAGCGGGGACTCAGCAGCGCGGGGCCTCCAGTGCCAGGCGGAGGCCCGTGGCCAGGCCCTGTGGCGTGGGGCTCTCAGCCATGCAGCTCACAGGCAGGCCCTGGGCGGCCAGTGCACGGGCCGTGCTGGGGCCGATGGCGGCAAACTGCAGGGGGAGAGGGGAGAGAGGGGAGAGAGGGGAGCGTCAGTGCACCTGCCGGGCCGCTGGCGTGGGAGCTCCTGGCATGTGCCGTCGACCTTCCCTATGCCCTCAAAATGCCTTTGCCCACATGAACTCATCACAGCCTCCCCGCCAGCCTGCAGCTCGGGTGCAGGGCAGGGGCACCAGGCCCCAGCACCCCTGCCCGCCGGCCTGGCTGCATCTCCACCAGCCATAGTGGCCCATGGTTCTGCCCTGGGACGGGCGGGCGGGGGGTAGGGTGGCAAGCCAAGAAGGCAGCAAAGTGTGAAAGGTGCTCTGGGCGTGGCAGGGGCCCTGGCTGCACCCCCACTCCCAGGAAACGCAGCAGCAACAGAGAGTGGGCCCTGGAGCCAGAGGGTCAGGGTCACATCCTAGCTCCCAGGGTAGTGGCCTTAGCAAGTGACCCTTCATCTCTGGGCCTCTGTCCCTTCATCTCTAAAACAAAGCTTACTAGCCTTCCCCTGTGAGGGTCACATGGGGGCCAAGTGAGCAACCACCTGGCCGGGGGCCTGGCACAGAGAAATGCTCAGTGGCCTGCAGAGCTGTTGGGAGCACTGTTGCTCTAGTGGCACGAGCCTCGTCAGCAGGATGCCTCTCTCAGAACATCGCGTGTCTGATGGTCACATGCGGAGCCTCACCTGGGGCCCTGGTGAGGTGTCATTAGCCCCTCTGATCCTGTTTCCTCACCTGTAAAAGGGGTACCGTTACCCTTGCTTGGCAGGGTGGGCACGGGGGTAAGTAAGGAGATCTGCTTGGCAGGGAGAGCACTCACGCTGCCCCCACGCCAACACTGGGGTGCACGCACCCCTCTGCTCGGGAGTAGGTGTGTGAGGATGGCAGCACACCCTTACCCAGCGCCCCCTCCGCCTGCCCTCCCTGGGTGGGTGTGGTGCAGGGAACAACTCAGGACGCTGCAGCTTGACGCCCCCCACTCTGGGGCATGTCAGAACCACAGGACAGAGGCTGCTGGCACCTCCACCGGGGGCCTGAGCTCCTGTAGGACCCCCCCACCCCCCCTGTAATGCAGCCATTCCTCCAGAAACTCTCTGAAGACAAGATGGAGCTGAGCCCATACCTCACAGCACACACAGACATCGCAGCAGACCGCAGACCTAAATGTAGGTGGTAAGCCCATAAACGTAGAAGAAACAGAGCGATGAGTCTTCACACCCTCGGATTAGGCAGTGGGTTTCTGAGATCCACCACTCACGACACAAATAGCAAAAAAAAAAGGTAGATACGTGGGTCTTTACCAAAATGGAAAACCTGTCATGCTTCTATGGACGCCACCACCGACGTGAAAAGACAACTCACGGGATGGGGAAGATTTCTGTAAATCGTACATCTGATGAGGAATTTGTATCCAGAACAAAGAACTCTGAAACCCAGCAGCAACAAGCCACACGGCAAGGATGTGGTCGGACCCTTCTCGGACGAAGATACAGAAACGCCCACCACGCACAGGCAAAGATGCTCAGAGCCGTCGGCCGTTAGGGGCATCCAACTCACAACTACCTCATGGCCACAGGAACGACTATGATCGTGAAGACAAAAAAATCACAAGTGTTGGTAAAGATGTGGAGGAACTAGAACCCTCAGGCTTGGCTGGTGGGAGTGCCAAGTGCCACAGCCACCCTGGAAGACGGTCTGGTAATTCTTCAAAATTACCAAAGTCAAACATCAAGGCACCACCTAAGAGCCTGCAATCCCCCTCCTTGGTTTGTTATACCCAAGAGAAATGAAAACACGTGCCCACACAAAAACTATCATCAGGGGCTCCTCAGCATTGCTGCTCAGAGCCCCAAAGTGGACACGACCCAAATGCCCATCAGCCGATGAACAGATAGAGACGGTGATGTATTCACCGAATGGACTATTCCACGGCGATGAAAATGAGCCAAGTCCTCACACAGGCCACAGCACGGGTGAGCCTCGAAAACACTCCAGTAAGCGAAGGAAGCCAGTCCTGAGATCCCAGAGTAGGAAACCCGCAGAGACGGGGGGGGTAGACTCGGGGTTACCGGGCTGCCGGGCGCATCACAGCTGCCGTGTCCAGGTGAGGCAGTGGCCCTAGCACCACCGCTTCTCCCAACCTCCAAAGTGGTAAGTGCTCGCTGTGTGCTAGTCGCTACCCCGAGCACTTCAGGGTCTCATCTTCATCCCTACAACCCTGAGAGTTAGCTCTGTTCTCCCCCAGTGACCTACGTGCCCATACTGGGCTTCCCAGAACTCCATATGACACCATATGACTCTGGCAAGTCATTTAACCTCTCTGGGCCTCAGTTTCTCCAACTGTAATAAGGACAATAGTCCCAATTTTGCTTGAGTCCTACCCCTGGACTGGTGTGCGAACTCTGCAAGATACTGCCTGGAAATGCTCCGTGGCCTGGCCATGGCTCATGTGTCACCATGGCTCACAACATGGAATCTGTCTTCCTGGGTTCAGATTGTGGCTCTCCCTTCCTCCTGTGTGACCTAGGGCAAGACACACAACTTCTCTGAGCCCAGTACTCCACCTGGAGAACTGGGAACCAGTGCTGACTCCGCAGGTGTGCAGTGAGACACACCTGTAATAAAAGGTAAGAGTCCTCACTCCATGTGCATGTGCACGGTGCCGGCGGCCTCTGTCCTGGGCCCCAGGTCGCCTCCGCCCTCTCCTCGGTCCCACTGGAGTCAGTTCAAGAGCCCGCCCACCACAGGCCCCATAAGCCTTGTCATTACTTGTGGACTCCTAGCAAATGGAGTCCCTAACAAGTGGGAATGTCAAGCCTTTGAATTCAAAGACATGAAAAAGGGGAACGGCTTTTAGAATAGATAATTCCAAGATGTTTAGATGGGAAAACAGGGAAAGGATGCTGGCACGTGTGCCAGGCTCTGAGCCAAGGACTGACCCGAATTCTCATCCAATCCTGAGACTCCTCGATCAGAGAAGACCGTCCACAGCAGCCCCCTGCCCACCGCCATCCACGGCTTCTTGCGCAGCAGCACCCCCTTACTCTCGGTTGCACAGTCCGCGGATTCAGTTCCCCACGGTCAACCACAGTCTGGAAGCAGATGACCCTCCTCCTCCTCCTCACGTATGGGCAGCAGGTCAGTAGCAGCCTCACGCTGTGTCACATGCCTACATCACTCACTTCCCCTCATCTCATCACAGAGGCACCCCGTCATCTCACATCTCCACAAAGCAGGGTGAGTGCAGTGCTGTTAAGATTTCTTGAGAGGGTTCGCGTACCTGTTAGTCTGGGACGTTGTTACAACTGCTTTGTTACTAGTTATTGTTATTAACCTCCTGCTGTGCCTAATCTATAAATTAGAGGTTATCCTAGGGATGTACATAAAGGAAAAAACAAACCATATTAGGACTGGGTAGTAGCCACGGTTACAGACGTCCATCTGAGTGTCTTGGAATGTACTCCCCGCAGATAAGGGGTGACCACATGTCTATGAAGGCCACAGATGGATACTCGTCCTCATGTCACAAGGGAGGAAACAGGCTCAGAGGGGTTAATTAACTTGCCCAAGCACAGCAGCCGGGAAGTGGTGCTCAAGAATCCTGGACCCCAGCCTTCCCAATGCTGCAGAGCTGACGTCGGGGTGTCTGCTAGGTCAAGAGTGCTCTGACTTTCCTTGGAAACGCTAAGGACAATCAGTAAGAATTTCTAAAAATTTGAAGAGACCAAAAGCCCACTGAATACCTCACCTTAATTCGATCAATGTTGTCACCAGATAACTCTTGAATATGCTTGAGGCTGTACGCAAGGCCAGAGGGACTGAAAAATGTGATGCTGGCCGGGACGCCCTGCAGGGAGAGAGTAAGATGCGTCTGCGGCCACAGGCCCAGGGGAGAGACTGTTCCCCAATCCACCCCCACCCACCCCCACACACACCGGGCACCATGAGCCCTGGAGCCCCAGGAGGGTTCCTGGTGGACGTGGCCTTCTCTGTTCCCTAGAGGCCGAGTTCAGGTGAGGCACCGTTCAGAGAGCAGGGTGCCACTGGGGAGGCTGGGCGCTGTCCTCATCCCTCTGCTGACTAGAGGACAGGGCCCCACGGCCCCGCATGCCCAGCTGAGTGGACGGTGCCACCAGCTAATGTGGCCAAAGTGGCATCGATCCATAGGGCAACAGCCCACGCCGGCTCCCCGTCAACTCTGCATCCTTTCTGAGAAACAGAAGGCAGACTGGCCACATGGCCTTTTTGTTTTGGTTTGCACTAAATAACGGGACGTCCAACCAGCAAGGTCCTCAGAAGCCTGTCCTAGGAGGGGGATGGGAGGTGTCTCTCTGAATACAGATGTGGAAAACCTTAATTCACACAGACGCCACCCATCCTCCTGCCCGAAGCCTCCAGAGGTCCCTGTGGCCTCCTGAATTCAATGCAGACTCACAACAGGGGCCCAGCCACCCTTCCCCCCCACAGCTCCACTGGGGCCCCACACGATGAAGGACAGTCACACCACGGCCCCCCGCTGCCCAGCTTACTAGGTCTGGGGTGCTATCCATAGGGCTTTGTGCATATCATCTCCTTTCATCCTTACACAAACCCTACGAGAGAGGTCTACCCCCATGTCACAGATCCAGAGATGGAGCCTCGGCAAGTCACACAGCCGGGGACAGTGCACAGGCACAGAGGCTTGGGCCTCTCGTCCCCAGGCCCCCGCCACTCGGGTGCCCGCCCTGCTGGAGCTCTCCCTGGAAGCACCACACACCTGCTTAGCATAGTAGCTGTTGAGGTTCACTTGGATTCCCGGGTGTGGAACCTTCTGATAGACAGTGATGCTTTCCATGGGAATCCCTGGACACAATCAAAAGCAGGAGGGAGGCTTCATTACACCGGGAGCAGGGGGGCGCCGCGCTGCAGGGCAGTTCGTGCGGACAGGCCAGCGCCACAAGCCAGACATGCCAACGCCCCCGAACAGGCTGCCGGGAGCTGAGGCGCAGACAGTGCACACCGGCCCGTAGCCGGGGATCCTCAGCTTACGGCCTCCTGTCCTCTGCTATTATTCCTGGTAGCGCGTGGGAGACAGACGGTAACACGGGGGAGACAGTCTCCACTTTAATACAGGGGGCAAAGTTCCGGGGTCTGAGGTCGTCCTGGGTGACGGCCTTCAATCATTCAGGACAGAGGGGCTGAGAACAACAGCTGCGGGGCCCTGGGTTTCCCGCCCTGGGGGAGCTAAACCCGTGCTCCACACTCTCAGGACAGCCCGTGAGGCGGCTTCTGTGGTTAGAGCCATGTCACAGGCGACGAGACAGGCGCGTAGAGCAGGTGTGACTTGCCCTGGCTCACGCAGCTGAACAGCAGAGGGAGATTTCCAGCCTGGCTCTGTCTCACCCTGAAGCTCGTACTCCGACCTGCCGGCGACCCCTGCTCCCAGACCCACCACGTGACGGGAGACAGTGTGCGGGTGGCCCCTCCGGCATCTGGGGCAGTGGCTGAGCTGCGGGACCCTGCCTGCCCTGGACATCGGCTCCATCCGGAGACTTTCCTCTGCACGGGGATCGGCCCCGGGTCCCTCCACACCAGCACCCCCGTACACTTGGCGAAGGCTCAGTGACACCCTGTGGGCTCGGGGCTACGGAAAGGACAGCAGGCTGCACCCCACACCAAACGCGACCATGAGGGGTGACCCGCCTTCCTCCCGGGACTCCGCACGGCCGACCCCGAACCTGGAAGGGGGGAGGGAGACGGATAGGGAAGCAGTGCCCACGAGCCAGTGCACTGTCCTCACCTCTGTCCTTGAGCATTTGGGGCAGGATTTCTCCTTTGACGGTTCCACAGGGAAACAGAAGAGGCAATGCTGGTGACTCCCCTGCAGATAAATAACCCGACTTTGTCAACGCTTTCAAGAAAGGGGTGCGTGTGCCGGGGCGCAGGGTGGAGCAGCTCTGGGCCGCCCAGTGTCGGTGGGAGGGAGGGAAGCCGCTGACCTTGCAGGATGAGGATCACAGGGTATTGAGGCAAGATGTTTAGAAAACGGGCGTCCCCGCAAGCCAGGGGCTGCTGTCCCCTAGGCCCCTCCAGCCCCTCTGGTCCACACGAGCGGGCACGTGGCTCTGCATTTCAGAGAGCTGGCTGGAGCCAGGCTCGCTCATGACGCGGCAGGGAAACGGCAGCCCCACGTGGCCCGGCAGCCACCCACCCCAGAGATGAGCTGCGTGTCTACTGTCCCCGTCAGGACAGCAGCCACCTGGCCAAGTGCCTGAGGGGCAGATGGGTGGCCGTGTAGGGGCCCAGCCTGCTGGGAACAGCCCTGCCTCTCACCCCGCTCCCCATCTGCACTCTCGAAGACCTGGGGGTGTGTTCAGCTCCAAGCTCTCTGCAGAATGAAGATGGCAATGCAGTCCGAACGCTGACCCGAGACAGTACCATGCAACAAAACCGATGGGGCTCACGTCCGAATCCTCCCCAAAGCGAACATTTTGATAGACCTCCCCTTCCCCCCCCCCCCCCCCCGCATCCGTCCATCAGTTGGAAGGTGTAATGGCTTTGCTCATGCACGGAGGCTTTCTTCTCTATCCCTGAGATCTCTGAACACCTCTTTGGGGACTGCAGGCAGAGGACGGAACGAAGCTCTTCTCATCTAGCACCATCTCCCCGAAGGCCCAGCCCACCCACAGGAACAACTGGAGACTTCTTTTCTCCAGGTTACTCAATAACTATGTATTGGTGAGTGTGTTCTTTAAGCTGCTCTGTACCCATCAGCATAGACGTAAAAGGACACCAGGGACTGGCAAAAACTCAAATGCAAACTAGATGCCCACTGATTTCTCTTTTCCAGCGGGAGGAAATGTTTCATGCGATGTAGACACCATCCTTGGAGACATATTTTCAACACCATGTTTAGGCACTGTTTTCTTAACCAGAGCCCGGGCATCCCTCCAGTGTCCGTCCATCTGTGTGTATGTGTGTGTGTGGGGGGGTGCTGGGGGGTGCAGGATTCTAGGGGCCAAAGCTGCTCCCACAGACCCTGCTCTGGGGCAGCGCCGAGAATCTATCAGGAAAACCAAGGGCCTGCCTTTGCAGCAAGCCCAGCCCTCGGGGTGTGCAAGGGACCTTCGGAAGATTCTAGAATCTGCCCTTCGAAGCACCCCTCTGAAGGTCTAGCACAGCACTGAGCTGCTCATGCTTATTCTCAGATTGCTGGCCACTAACTCGGGGGACGGGAGCTTAGCACGCATGTCCTGGCACAGGACAGAGGACTGTCTTTTCTCACCGCACCGCTCCCTGGAGAGCCAGGCCACGCATGCTGACTTCATGGAAACCCTCCACACTATCAGCAAAGGGAGGAAAATGTGAAAATGTCGCAGCAGGATCCTCTTCTGCAGAGTGGAGATCTACCACAGCTGTGCTTCCTGGGACCTAACCCCCTTCAAGAAGTCAGAGGCAACCCATTCTTTTTGGGGGATAAGTTTGCTGCCTGCAGATTTTGAACCCCATTAGGCCAACGCTAAATAGGGCAATGCTAAAGCTGGCTGATTCCGCAGAGGTGTGAGAGGTTTCCCGGAATGACAGGGAGAGACGGGGCCTGGCAGGGGTCTCATCCGACAGAGAAGACCAAGAATGGTGACTCAAAGGGCTCAGAGGCTGCCCATTCCTTTAATAGGAAGGAGGCCTGGGTGGGGGGGCTGTGGGGGCTGAGGCCAGCAAGGGCGCTGAAAGTCCCAGGAGAGGGTTGTGCAGGGGGCTGGGGGACTCCGTAAGTAGTCACGTAGCAATTAAGGTAACAAGGCTGATTTTTTTTTTTTTTTTTTTAGAAATGCCATTTCACTGGAGGACACGTGCGTGGTTGGAAAGCTCCAGCAGCTGCCAGGCTGATTTCGGCCTCCCAGGTGGGGCTGTGAGGAGCAGGCCCGGCAGGCTGAGATTCTCATGGTTGAGAATCCAGACGGTGGGGCTGATGGCAAGGGAAGCAAGAGCTGAGCTGCAGGGGTGGCCCGTCGGCAGCCCCTAATCCGGGGGACATTTCAAATAAATGCACTCCCCCATCTGACTCAGGCTGACCCCCTCTTGCAGGATGTTGTAATTCCCCCTTTTACCATTTATTTGCTGCTTTCTTTTCCATTAGAGGAGACCTCCTGGGAGGGGAGAGTTTTCTCTCAGAGCAATGAGCCATCAGATTAAATGAGTTCTAGTGCTCACCAAAAAAATCTATCACATAGTTTTAATAATAATAATAAAAAAAGCGTTAAGTAAAAGAAGCAGTAACTGTGAATTGTCCTGTTTCCTCCAAACACTGGAAGTAGATTCTTAGCTTTTAAAATCCAGTTTCAGAGCTTGCTGGGGGAGAAAGTCATTAATGCCTTGGTAAAACCAAGGTGAGCGTCCTTATTGGCAGCCAAGGAGAATCCTCATTTGGATATTCTAATTGACAAAGATTTATCAGAACACATAGGTGTGTTGGTAATAAGTTGGAAGAAGTAACAAAGGCTTTGCAAAGAACGCAGCCCAGTCTTCGCCGAGATAAGACACAGCCTGTGCTTATCTCCCCTCCAAGCCTTGAGTCGGTTCATTAAAACACCCGTGTGACATCTCAGGAGTGACCCGGATCCTCCCTGCCTTGCATATACGGGGCAAGGAGCACACCGGCCTGATGGCTCTGCACCTGATAGTGAGGAAGGACTCAATTTCCTTCCATCTCGTTCTAGAACTAGTGCGTACGTGGGGAGTACAGCCAGGTCATCTGCCCCAGAAACAGGCTGCAGCCACCCATTCCAGTAAGGAGCTAATTGTCATCCTGCCCACGGAACCAGTCATTAGTCTTTGTAAACGAAGGCACCTAATCCCCCAGGGAGTGCCACGTTCTACCGTTTACAGTGATTTCTACACTCAAACAGAAGGGCTTTGTTCCTGTTTACTGGTGACCATTACCCCCTGAAAACATTAGAAATAGCCTGGAGTTGGATCATTCTGGAACATATGCATTCCACACCTTGAACTGCTGGGGGAAAAACCCAATCACATGACATTCTTCTCGTCCCGGAAGAGGTGAGGCTCGGTGACCCTCAAAACAGTCCTGTGGGCCTGAGGCCCCTGCGGCATCTAGGACAGTGGCCACCCCTGGGCTGCCAGCATAGCTGCCCTCGGCTTCTTAGCCGCTTTCGATGCCTGGCTGCACAAGAGTGCACAACTGACCAGCCCCCCAATTGCCCCGTCCCCCATACACCCTCCTCACACCAGCACAGTTCAACAGCGCTCAGCAAACACTGCATGGGATCACCTGCAGGCCGGGCCCTTTGCAGGGCTGGGGGGCGGCGAGGGAGGGGGCCGCGCAGACCAGCGACCCTCACAAGGCAGAGGGGGTTAAGCGACAGGACAAGGTACAAAGCGTGTGTGAAGTGAGTGAGGCCGAAAGAGGGCCAAGGTCTTCCGGACAGCGTGTGCAGAAGGAGCACAGCCTACGGCATCCCTGACACAGAGGGGCTGTGTCTCCAGGAACCTGCGGGAAGGACAGGGCCTCTGTAGGCAGCACCGGGGGCAGGAGATGAGGGTGTGCAGGGAGCCACGGAGCCCCAGGGACAGTGGAGCGGAGTCCCAATCCGGTGACCCTCTGGGTCCAATCCTGGTCGAAGCAGGTGCTGGCCTGGGCTGGAGTAGAGGAGCCGGCGCCCAGCACCGTGTTCCCGTCCCAGGGCAGCACCTCTGGGCCTCCAGCCCTGGCTCTCGTATCCAGCACTCCGCCCGCCTGAACTGTCCTGCCTGGGGGGCTCTTAAACACGACAGTCGCTTGGCCCACGGCTCTAGTGGCCGGGTCCATGGTTCCACTAGCCCACCTTCCGGCCCCTCTCGCTCCAAGAGCTCCCCCACATCTTTGCTTCCATCAGGGCTGGACACCGCCTGGAAGGCAGACACCTCTACAACCCATGTCATCTCAGGTCCCTGTCCCCATGCTGCCCCAGGGACATGCTCCCAGGGGGTGGGTCCGCTCTGAGAGAGGGAGCTCAGAGAGGGAGGGGCCCCTGAGAGGAGGGGAAGGGGTGCAGGTGCAGGAAAGATGCCAGCAGCCGCTGCCTCCCTCCACTCCTTCAGTCACCGCAGATGGTCTCCCTGGATATGTCGCCGCCAAACGTTTTGTTTTGTGTAATGTTTGAGCTGTGTCAAGTCCTCTGGTGGAGAGGTGGGCTGGGGTCCCAGGAGTGGCCTGCACACTGTGTGCCAGCCCACGTCACCACAGATGGTGTGCACCCAGGAAGTGTTCCTCTGCAGGGGGCTAGGGGTGAGGCCGATAAACAAGTCAATGGGCTTCTTCAGGGGGAGGTGACCTTTTTCTACTTACGGGAACAAATGTATTCTGCAAGCTTTTCTGCATTTCCACAGTTTGCTCCTTCTGCATCTAGACCGATTTTATTCACTGGAAAACAAGAAAGAAATATGTTTTCACGTGGCTATTAAAGCCCGCTGTCCCTGTGCTGTATGCGTGTGCTTTACAAATAACACAGGACGTCCCCTCCTGTAGGCTGGTATCGAGGGCCACAGGCATGTGTCAGATGGGAGGGAGTCCGGCCCTGTCCCACCCTCCCTAGATGTCTGGCTTTGAGTCTCCGCCAATTTCTTTGAGCGTCCCCTGCCCCCAGCTCACCTACACGAGGGGAGGATGCCAGCCCTATGGGATGCCTCTACAGAGTATTCGAGAGGATGAGAGCAAAACTGCTGGCCAGCTAGGTGGAGCTGAAGAATGGTGGTGAACATTTAGGATGTTCTGTGAGGGAGACGAGGCCAGCCCCATCTAGAAGGGTGGTGTGGTCTGACTGGCCAGACTGGAATGGAAGGGAGGGCAGGAGAGGTTCCATGGTAACCTGCCAACAGGGACCCAGAGTATTGCGAGTACAGGTCATCTGGGGTGAGGGGCGGACCAGCTGCTTTGAGAGATTCCTAGCATGAAGGGAGGCAGGAGCAGACCCCCAGGCTCCCCTGCAGGCTTCCACGCGGAGAACATTGGGCCCTCGGCAGAGGATGCTGAGGGAGGAAGGGCCACAGGCCCATGCTGTCAGGGCTCACTCCCTGTTCACAGGGTGTGGAGCGGCCCTGACAGAGGAGGTGCTGTGGGCATTGCATTTAGGGTTCATGTGAGACTGGCCGGCTGGTGACAAACTGCAGCTTTCACATAAACACCATCAGCTTTTAATTTACAGGTCATTTCAAGTGCCCTGAGTCCAACAGACAAAAGTCACATGTAGCTGTAAACCTGGTTCTGGAACAAAGCCGTTGCTTATGCTCACTGCCAGACCAGGCAGGGCTGCCTCTCCTCTGATTGAACTGGGAAGGTCCCAGTACACCAGAAAGCCTGAAAACTTCCCAGGAAGTGGACTGGGACATAAGTACTGCAGGGACGTCGATACTTAAACATCGACGTTCATATGCACTGTTCCTGAGTTAACCAGACAGGAGGAACCGCCTAGACTCACACACCACCTTGCTGTTCCAAGTGAGCACTGGCACATTTTGTGCTCGCACGACCCTGAGACCCTGGGGCGTCCAGCATGTGTCAGCAGTGTCTGTAAGGGCAGGCACGGGGCTGTGTGGTCCTCCCGGTGCCCACAGAGGCTCTCAGGAGAGATCAGGGGAATGGATGTTTGCTGGAAGGTCTCGACCTCTGTGGCGGCAAGGCTGGCTCTGCTCTAAGTGGGTACAGGCATGTGAGCCAGCACTGGGGCCCAGGCAAGCCCGCCTTCCGGGCCTCCCCAGGCGACGGTGGCAGGGGAGCTTCAGGTTACTCACAACTGTGTGAAACAAACCAATCCGATCCTACACAAACCTGCCATGGGGTTCTTTACATTTGAGAGGTTAAGGCAAGGACAGCCATGGTGGATCCAGTCGGGGGCTCATGTAAACCTGGGGGTGAGCTCCCCTGCTGGCGGATGCCTACACTCAAAAGGTATCAGGTGGTTATCTGAAGGTGAGATAAAATCCTGAGTGCAAATCAGTAAGAATCACCAAATGGGATGTGAAGACATATTAACAAGGTTATGGATACAGATTATCTCAGTATTCTCCCAGAATTAATGGGAAAACAAAGCAATGAAAAATACTGAAAAACAAAACAAAACAAAACAAAAAAGCCAGATATGGTTTATAGGGTTTCTGGGTAGCTCAGTCGGTTGAGCGTCCAACTCTTGTTTTGGCTCAGGTCACAGTCTCATGGGTCCTGGGATCAAACCCTGGGTCAGACTCCAAGCTCAGCAGGGAGTCTGCTTGAGGGTCCTCTCCCTCTGCCCCTCCCTCCACTAGCTCTCTCTAAAATAAATAAATCTTGGTGGACACGGACATCAGGACCACTTGTGTGGACCCAGTTTCGGTTTCTGCTATGAGAAACATTTCTACCTTTTCTTTGCTTAAAATGTTCAACTCTCCTGACCTGATCTGCAGCTCTGGCTTGGGGGGAGGGGGCAGTTCTTGGGCTCAGTTTGACCCGAGAGCTCTTATAAAATACCTCCCAGTAATCTCGGTGCTCACACTGCTGTGACAGCCCTTCCCCTTGAGTGCGGGCTGGACCCACTCAATTCAAACAAAAAGAAGGTGGAACAAGTGATGGGATGTCACTCTCCAAGATGATGAAAAGAAGCCAGTCTGGCCTGGATGCTCTCTTGCACTGGCTCTTGGATTATCTTGAAATAGGAGAATCCTGCTGCCGTGTTCTAAGGTAGCCCTTAAAGAGGGCCACATGAAGGCTGGGAAATGGATCCACGTGCGTGCTTTTGGAGTTAGAACCTCCAAGTGGAGCCTTGAGATACTTGCAACCTGGTGAGGGACCCCGAGCCAGACAGACCCAGCTCAGCCATTCCCAGATTTCTGACTCACAGAAACTGTGAGAAATTAAATGCTTGTTTCTAGTCACTAAGTTTTGGGGGAATTCATTACACAGCCAAGGATGACTGACACATGGGCCTGGTCTCCTCTGGCTGCCCCCGTTCCTCGAACTCTCCAGGCTCTTGCTGAGCCACGGGGTGAACAGAAGCACCAGCAGTTCAAGCAGTGCCTCCTCCCTGCACCCACCAGAGAGAGCTCCTCTTGGACATCATGTCTGGGAAGGTGAGCTAAGATAGAAGGTTCAAAAGTTGGGTGACTAACTTTCATGTTAAGAATGTGAGATTATCACATTTTTCTCCCAAGAGATTTTTTTTTAAAGGTGCAAGCCCCCTAATTGCATCTTTCCTTTGATCAGATGTTTCAGCATTTAGAACGTGTGGCCTTTTCCTTCACAGCGGAATAAACAGGGAGCAGGCTGGGGCTGGCGGGTCCTGGGGAGACCAGGCTCTGCCGCCCGTGCCCAAGGGATGCTGGCGCACTGCTAGCAGGCTCTGGTTCGGGGTTTCTCATCCCATACCACCACTTTTGTTCTTGGGTATTCTTGTTTGACAGAACAATGAGATGCAAGACGAACAGTGGTACTCTTGATATCAGACTGAAGGTAGTGTGAAAATCAAAAGAGGACAATTTACCAACACACCATGTTTGATAGCTGAAGTGCTGATGTTTTGGAAGTTGCCTCTAGAATTTTCTTGCCTCTTTACATCAGAAAAAAACAGGGCAGCCCGGGTGGCTCAGTGGTTTAGCGCTGCCTTTGGCCCTGGGCCTGATCCTGGAGACCTGGGATCGAGTCCCACATGGGGCTTCCTGCGTGGAGCCTGCTTCTCCCTCTGCCTGTGTCTCTGCCTCTCTCTCTCTCCCTGTGTCTCTCATGATTGAATAAATAAGAATCTTAAAAAATAAAAAAAGCAGCAGCAAAAGAAGGTGCAAGCAAATTCTTAACCGATTAGGGAGGAAATGGGAAATGGGGTGGTTTCCTTGGCAACCAAGGCTGATTCCCTCTTCCCAGATCTGTGTGGAGCTCCAGCGCTCCAGGTACACATTGTTCTTCATTGAATAGCGAAGCACTGGCTCTTAATTAATTAGTCAGGCAACTCCACGCTGGTGAACTCCTCAGTGTCATTTTATTCTCTGCAGAGTGCTTTTCATTCTTAACCTACTCTCATCTTCCAGCATTTTAAAATTCATTTGGACAAACTGGACCGTTTTGAAACAAAGCTGCACGTTGATTTACTCACACTTGCTAAGGATTGCTTCATGCTTACTTTTAATGTTTACTTGCAATGTTGATTTTTAATGCTTCACTGTTTACCTTTGTGCTTTAAAAATAACAGACGAAGTCAAGACTGGAAAATGTGGACTATATTAAGAAAATTATAAAAAACAGCTATCGTACCACCGTCTGGAGAGAAGTACCTTTCGTAGGGTTATTTCCTTTCAGGTTGTGTTCTTATTTTAGTAAAAACATATAACATAAAACTTAGCATCTAAGCAATTTTTAAGTGTATAACTCCGTGGTATTCAGTACAGTCACAATCATCACCCATATCCACTTACAGAACTTTTTCATCATCCCAAACAGAAACTCTACATCAGATTAAACAAGAACTTCCCATTTCCCTCAACCCCAGACCAGCAAACCTCTACTGTACCTTTAGTCTCTTTGGGTCTGGCTGTTCTGGGAGCCCCAGTAAGTGGAATTATACAGTATTCATCTTTTTGTATCTGGCTCATTCCACTTGGCATAATTTTTTTTAAGAAAAGATTTTATTTATTTATTCATGAGAGACACACAGAGAGAGGCAGAGACACAGGCAGAGGGAGAAGCAGGCTCCCTGCAGGGATCCCCATGTGGGGACTCCATCCCAGGACCTTGGGATCATGACCTGAGCCAAAGGCAGACACTCAACCACTGAGCCACCCAGGTGTCCCTGAGTGTAATGTTTTCAAGGTTCTTCCATGTTGTAGCATGTGTCAGAATTTCCATGATATTCTATTGCATGTGTACACCATATTTTATCCATTTATGAGTCCAGGGATATTTAGGTTGTTTCCACCTTTTGCCTGTGGTGCTGATGCTGTCATGAACTCTACATACTCCAAGGAGTATCTCTGTGAGTCCCTGTTCCTCTCTAGCTCCTTTGGGGGTAAGGAGGGCTCTCTATTTAGTACAGGACCCATGTTTTTAAATTAAATTGAAATTGTATCATGTATCTATATTGCATCGTGCTTTTTTTTTTTTTTTTTTTTTAAAGGATTTAGGGATCCCTGGGTGGCGCAGTGGTTTGGCGCCTGCCTTTGGCCCAGGGCGCGATCCTGGAGACCCAGTGCATGGAGCCTGCTTCTCCCTCTGCCTGTGTCTCTGCCCCTCTCTCTCTCTCTCTCTCTCTCTCTGTGACTATCATAAATAAATAAAAATTAAAAAAAATTAAAAAAGGATTTATTTACTTGAGAGAGAATGAGTGCATGTGCATATGAGCAGTGGTGGGGAGGAGGGGGAAAAAGAGAGAAGCAGACCCCCCACCCCCGCTGACTATGGAGTCTTCAAGGGGCTTAATCCCAGGGCTCTGAGATCATGACCTCGGCTAAAATCAAGTCAGACACTTAACTGACTGAGCCACCAGGGTGCCCCTAAAGTTACCTTTTGTTATTGATAACACACTTCTTTCAATTACGCCTGAGTTTGTTAATGAGGCAGCTTTTGGAAAGCCCTAAGGGATGGGGGCTGGTTCCAGGGTAACCAACCTTGTGATCAGAGACAATCATCTCTTGCCTCTCCCACCTCGGAGGAGAAGAGCAGAGCTGGAGGTTGGATGAATCATCAATAAGCAGTGATTTAATCAATCACGCCTGTGTAATGAAGCCTTCATAAAAACCCAAATGGTGTCACAGAGAAGTGTGGGAGGGTGGTATACCAGGAAGGGGTGAGGAAGTGCTACACCCACCCACTCACTCCCCACCTTGCTCTGTGCATCTCTTCCATCTGGCTGTTAATTTGTATCTTTTGTAATAAACAGGCAATAGTTAGTAAACCATCTGCCTGATTCTGTGAGCAAATGACCCAACCCAACACACATTTGTTAACCAGAGTACAGAAGTATGACTATGGTAGTAGCAGAGACTACAGGAGAGAAGAAAACCAGTTTTTCATTCCCCAAGGACTTTTTTTCCATTCCCCAATGACTTAATCTTGTTTGTTTTTTAAACACTGTAGTTTAAAATATGATTTTTTGCTTATTAAATTTACAAATAGTTAATTAGTTAAATATATAATGTTGCTGGTAAGGGAACAGTGAAAAATCTCTCTAAAATAAATCTTAAAAAAAAAAGGCAACCTTATCACTTAGCAAATATCAAGGTTCTGAGGAACTCTGTGCCAGGAACAGGACAAAGAAAATTCATATTTTTTATTACAAATCATAATATCATAGTCATTCCTGGTGTTTTATCTTTACCTCGATTGCTTACCTAGAGAAGCAGTAGCATTTCCAACCACATACACTGTCTTAGCGTTCCATTTTTCTTTCAGAGAATGCTTCCAGACTGTAAAACAGGAATTATATGTGAGCTGCAAATACCATAGTGGCTATTTGGACTGCTGCCCAAAGCTACTTGTTCATCCTAAGACATTTATTAACAAGGCAAACTATTAATAACCAAATATAAAGAATAGCATCTCAAACTAAAATTTCATTTTTATTCTGTTCATATTCAGCAGGGAAATTTTTAAAAATTACTTTCGTGATGTTTCAGTATGCCTTGCTTAAAGTATCCTCTCTTTTCCACAGTGGGCACTAGAAGCATGTTTAGTGTGTACCAGAAAACAAACATAACTTGAAGAATGAATTTGCAGGGTGACTTTAAAATTAAAAATCTAGACTTTTGGGATGCCTGGGTGGCTCAGTGGTTAAGCGCCTGCCTTTAGCCCAGGGCGTGATCCTGGAGACTGGGGAATCGAGTCCCACATCGGGCTCCTTGCATGGAGCCTGCCCTATGTCTCTGCCTCTCTCTCTCTCTCTCTCTCTGTCTCTCATGAATCAAATCTTAAAAAAAATTAAAATCTAGACTTTTATTAAATTTTTAAAAAATTTTTATTTTATTTTTTAGTAATCTCTATGCTCAACATGAGGTTCAAACTCACAACTCCAAGATCAAGAGTTGCACACTTGGGGCACCTGGGTGGTTCTATTGGTTAAGCGTCCAACTGTTGGTTTTGATTCAGGTCATGATCTTGGGGTTCTGGGAATCGAGCCTTATGTTGGGCTCCCTGGGGAGATTGTCTGTCTCCCTCTCCCCCTGCACCCCCTCTAAAATAAATAAATAAATTCTTTAAAAAAAAAAAAGTCATACACTCTTCTAAGAGCCAGCCAGGTGCCTTTAAAAATATAGATTTTTAAAGAAAAAGTCACGGGTCATTAAAAAGGGCAACTTTCTGTCTCATAAAGCAATACAACTGGTTTCATTTGGGACATAAATCTGAATGCAGTCAAGAAACTGTAATCTCGGATGTATCCATTAAGTCAAAGTAAAGCTAATACATTTCAGGTTCATAGGCAAACACAATTTTATAAAGAACACTATCATCTTATTCTTATGACAAAAACAAACACCTTTAAATGTGGATTAAAGAAATACAAAGAGAAAATGAGTTATATAATTATAAGGCCACGGGGTGTTCAATATTTTTTGAGAAGACAAGGAAACAGGAGTTCTCCATTCCTAAAATCTAATTATGAGTGTAACTTTCCCTTACATTTAAGTGTTACACTACCCTTTACACTCACATGGGCGATTTCCTTTCCTTTCCTTTCATTTAAAGATTTTTATTTTTTTAAGTAATCTCCACACCCAACGTAGGGCTTGAACTTGCAACCCTGAGATCAAGAGTTGATCCAGCTGAGCCAGCCAGGTGCCCCTGGGAAATTTCCATTTAAACAGTAACCAAAGACTGAGTCTTACCTTCTTTCCTACTCCACAAATGTAAATAATATTTGAAAATTATCTATAGCATGTGAACAAGCCATTCTCCAATCTCGTGGCAGATATTTCTAACAGAAGGTGAATGTGTAAGGTGATTTTTTTAGGCTATAATGAAAGCCTAATTAAAAGTAGAGAGAGAACAACCATTCACCACTGTCACTCATTCAGTGCCCACCATGGGCCAGGCAACATCCCAAATGCTTCTTGTCGGGGCTCAGATTCATATCTGGTATCACAAATCTGCAACTTACAGACCATGTGGTCTGGGCAAGTTTCATACCCTGTCTTCAAACTCCTCATATGTCGAGTGGAAAAACTAATTGTATCTATTTCAAGGGTAAGTCATTTAAGATGGGGTCTGGCACAGAGAAGGCACCTTGTCAAGTTCTAGCTAGCTAGTAGTTATAAGTGATGAACTTGGGATGGAGGGATTATTTATTATGCCCACTTTACAGACAAGGAAACCAAGGCTCAGTGAAGTCAAGGAACTCGCCAAGGTCAGAATGGCCATCTGAACCGAGGCCTACCTTGCCACAAAGCCATTCTGTAATGATGCCTGACTGCTGCCTCTACTCCTTAAGATAAGTAGGGCTGGTCACGTTTAGGTCTGAGGCTGGCTGTGCACTGACTGGTTCCATGGCCTTGGACAAGTCCTTACTCTTCCAGAGCTTCAGTTTTCTCATCTGTAAAATAATGAGGACCACAGTATGTATGCTTCCGGCCAAAAATCCAGGAATAAATAAGATAATGAATGTAAAGCAGTTAACAGAGCCTGGTATACATTAGGCACTCCATAAATGTTAGCTATGAAGCTATCGGATCAAAAGACGAAGCTGGCTGTCCAGTCTGAACCGAGGCTCTGTTCCTATGTTTTGATGGAGAGAGGAGGAGGTAGAAGGGTCTAAGAGATGATCGTGTTATTAGGTGCCTGACAGGGCATGAGCCATCGTTTCATTGTTGATACATATACATACCAGCATCTGTGACAGGGCACCACGAGGCACTCCCTCCCATCAGAGAGCTACCAGGTCAACCCATCGTTCTGTGTGGGACATTAAGAGTCAGCTTACAAGGAGAAAGGTCATTTTCTGCTTCCTCCAAAGGTCACACGAACATGAATTAACTTGGTATGTAAATACTTCATTGAGCAAAAAGTCACTGAAATTTTTAAAATATGAAAAATCTATTTCTGGAACCCAGTCTCCCCCGTGGGAAGAATCAGAGTAAAGGAAGTCTGGTGGGGATCCCTGGGTGGCGCAGCGGTTTGGCGCCTGCCTTTGGCCTAGGGCGCGATCCTGGAGACCCGGGATCGAATCCCGCGTCGGGCTCCCGGTGCATGGAGCCTGCTTCTCCCTCTATCTGTGTCTCTGCCTCTCTCTCTCTCTCTCTCTCTCTCTGTGTGTGTGTGATTATCATAAATAAATAAAAATTAAAAAAAAAAAAAAAAAGGAAGTCTGGTGGAATCCACAACAGAGCCCCTCACCTTCAGTTTTATTGTCTTTCTCCAAACACAGCTCCACTGCTTCCACTGCTCTGGGGCTGGTAAAAATGAGTCCCCCATAGCCTTCAGGATGAGACAGCTGTGCACCAAACAGCAAGAGGCATTTTATTTTACATGATGCCAATTTCAACATTTCCTAGATTTCCAAATGCTTCACAAAACTAATTCCTTTTATCCATCCACCCATCCATCCTTCCATCCACTCTTCTACTCAACACCTCCTAGGACCTTACTATATGCCTGGAACTATTCAGGGCTTTTAGGAATACACAGGTGAATTCACTATTCATGGCATTTTTCTCAAGCAGTTTGTAGTCAAGGGGAGGGATAGGAAAGAGCACTCTCGGGTGGTATCGTAACAGGAGCAGAGAGGGGCAACCTGACCCAGCCTGGGCTTGGGTGGGGTGCAGGCAGGAGGGCAGACTGGACTTGCATCTATAATAAAACTGGAATCCTCAAGGGGCACCTGGATGGCTCAGTCGGTTAAGTGGCCAGCTCCTGATTTTGGGTTAGGTTATGATCTCATGATCCTGGGATCTAGCCGTGCATTGGGCTCTGGGCTCAGCAGGGAATCTGCTTGGAGAGTCTCTCTAACCTCTTCCTCTACTCCCCCAACCCCTGCTCATGTTCTTTCTCTCTCAATGATCTACTGATCATTGCTGTTTTTACATATTCTTTCTATCTGTGAAAGTTCCCTGTGAGATGCGTGGGGTTACTGTCATCTCATAGGTGAAGACTCAGGCTTGGAGAGGCTAAGGACCTGGCCCAAGGTAAATAGCAGAGCCAGGACCTGACCACATGCCTTGTGCCCCCACTCACTGCATAGGGAGCTATATGAACGTCCGGAAGAGCACTCAGGAGGCACACTGGCTGGTGGTGACAGGAGAGGCTCCTGTGGAAACTCTAGTATTTGTGTGACCACAAGGTCCAAGATGTGATCTTGAGTGAGGAGATCTTCGGGGCCTTTCAGAGCTTCTTATGGAGGGCATGCTGACTTGGGTCCCTCTTACATAGTTCCCTCAGCACACAACTCAGGGCAGAAGAACGTAATAGGTACCAGATCATTGTCGGGTAAATTACTGAATGGATAATGCAATATTCAGCCCAAGTCAAAGGGGCGCTAACAGAGGTGTGGAGCCCGGGAGCAGGGCTGGGCACCGTCGTCCGTGAAACTAGCCTGGCTCTTGGCCTCCGGGTCTAGAAAGGAGCTCCAGGGGAGATGCCCCGAAGGCGCTCTGCTCCTGGGACTGGGTGCATGCTGGGGAGGGTGGCCTGAGCACTAAATCTTTGAAACATTTGGAGGTTTCAGCCCAGTGGCCCAACCTGGGGGAAGGTACCACCTGTGCAGGGTGTGGTCAGGTGGGAGGGTAAATGGGAGGATGAACTGGACTGGCCGCATGGCTGAGAGCCCTCTCTGCCACCTGTTTCCCAGGCCCTCACAGACCCCACCTCCAGGTCAGGGTGGCTTTCCGGAGGAGCTGCTGGAAACTCAGGGAGAGTCTAATAGCCTTCCACTGTAGCCAGGTGAGGCTGTGCTGCCCTCATTGTAAAGTGTGGTAGTAAAATGAGGGAGTGAAGAAATTCTCCGGCTTGGGTTGGCAGGGAACCTCCAGGGACTCAGACACTGACAGATCTTACCTTCTCAGAAAAACTGGGAAGAGACAAAAACTCAAATGATAAAACAGGGATCAGAGTGGCTTCAAATCCATATAATCCTAATTCCTGCAAATACAAGAATATAGTTCTGGATTGGCCAGGGTTGTTTGGAAAATAAGGAAAGAGTCACAGTAACAACGTACTCTGCGTCAGCTCCTCAGAGGTTAGCAGGCCTCCCCACCCTTCACCCCTGACCCCCTTAGCTTCCTTAGTAAGACAGTGTCATGCTTTGCGGGGACCAGGAGCCTTGGGCACTTACCCTGATGTATGGATCTTGGCCACAGTCATCCTCTTTAGGGTCTTTCAGTAAAAGAACCTTCATTATCACCTGGCAGTCCTTCCAGGGTGCTGTGACAGAGCAGAGAAATGGAGGGATCTTAATTAGATCTCAAGGACTCTTCTAAGCAATGTTAGATGGGAGAGGAGCACGGTAATCAACTGCTAGCTGAGGTGACCTATCCTTGCCCACAATGACTTAGCATTAATGGGTTTGTTCCTTCTGAAGACCCTGTCACTGATAAGGCCAAGGGACGGCATGCTAGCACTTGATATCACTTGGAAAGGCAGATGAAAGCCATTAGGGAAAGCCAGTGTCCTGGCCACGCATTTAAGCCTCGTAAAGAGGAGTGATACATATTTGGGGTTGTATCATTAACAAATAGACAAATTATTTTAAGGAAATAAAGAATTACTTCCTTTCAAGACAAATATACTGAGTAGTTCATAAACATACGCTCTTTAGGGAATAATTATACTGACCCTTCTACTTCTCAAATGATGTTTTATAAATGTCGAATATTATGAGGTATCTTTCAAAAGTGTTCTAACAACCTGGAAAATAATTTGTTGAGATGTATCAAAAGCCTTGAATACTTCATACTCTTTCTTCCAATAATTTCACTTCTAAGAATAAATACTAAGGCAATACTCAAATGTGTGCAAAGACTAACAAAGACTTTCATCTGGGAATTTTTTTTTTTTTTTTAAACCGAGATGTCATTGACGTACAACTTAAGTTTCAGGTATTTAGCTGTTCATTTGATACGTTTATATAAGGCAGTATGATTACTACCTTTGTAGCTCAGCTAACACCTCTACCACACCTCCTCATAATTATTTCTTTTTTGTAGTGAGAATAATTAAGATCAACTCTTCTAGGAACTCTGAAGTTTATAATACAGTATTATTGACTATAATCACTATGTTGTGCATTAGGTCTCTAGGACTGACTCTTCTTCTGGTTGCAGGATTGTATCCTGGTATTTAGAGTGGGAAACAAAGTCAATGTCCAAAAGCGAGAGAATGGTAGTTGTATGAAATCATTAAAATATTCATTAATAACTTAATTACATGGATTATTTAATCACATCATAATGCTAAGTTTAAAATGTAGTTGCATGAATAATATAATTTTAATAAATAATATAATATATAATATATATAATTTTATAAATTTTATATCTACGTATATATGAAAGGATTTGTACCAAAATACTACTACTAATTCTTTCTTTCTTTTTTTCAAAGATTTTATTTATTCATGAGAGGCAGAGACATAGGCAGAGGAAGAAGCAGTCTCCCTGCGGAGAGCCTGATGTGGGACTGGATCCCAGGACCCCGGGATCACACCCTGAGCCAAAGGCTCAGACCACGGACCACCACTAAGTATTTATGGGTGGCAGGTTAGGGTGATTATTTTCTTGTTTACCTCTTTCTGTATGATCCACATCTTTTAAACAATAAATATTAAATTCTTTTGGATCAAGGAAGAGAATTTAATACTACCACCCCCAAAGGCCTCACAATAAATGCTGCCAGAGACCTGCAGAATAAATTCTGCCTGAAATGTGGATTACTATCCCATAAGTAGCATTAGGCCCACCAGCTAGTTACTTACTAAATATTATACAGCGGTTGATAATAGCCAAACAGTGTATATTGTTTGGAGCAGAAATATGTTAACTCTGAGAGCCATTACTTGTGATTTATTACTGAATCGGTTTCTGAAACATTATAGCATCTATGGGACATCTTAGGAAAATTTGGCTCAAAATGAATTGCTTTGTATCTAAGCAACCAACCCTGGGTGAACAAATAATAATCATGAAATCAAGTTCTAATTACTGCTGCTGTTGAGCTGTTGGCTAGAGAGACTGGGGATTTGGGGGAATGGGCAGTATTGTTCCTATCATTTCCTGAAGTTACTTGGAATGTGTCTCACACAGAAATTAGGAACCAGCCTTTTTGAGATGGTCACGCTCAGGTGTCAACCCAGGGCTCAAGTTCCCATTTATTCACAAATGCTTTTAGCCAGGGAGATTATCCTAGGTAATCTGGGTGGGCCTCCTCCAGTCAGTGGTTTTAAGAGCAGAACTGAGGCTTCTCTGAGGAAGAAATTCCAGCTGTGGACACAGCATCTGCTCAAGGCTCGAGCCAGCCTGCCCTTCTTGGTGGCTTGCCCTTGGGGTCTCAGACTTGCCCTGGCAGCCCCCACAGTTACACGAGGCAGTGCCTGTCAGTAGGTCTTAATCCATATCCCCCACCAGCTGTTTCTCTGGTTGAACCCCCAACTGATCCCAAGAGCCCCTTCTAGGGCTCCAGGAAACTGTAAATCACTGAGTGGCAGGTAAGACTTAGCATTTTCTGTTAACACATAAATGTTTCCAGGCACACAAAACAAGCAACGATTGTGGGATTAAAAGGTGGAAGCATCATGCTGCTAGAAGCGGTTGGTCCTGGGTGGCTGACCTCAGCCCCACCATGACCTTGCCATGGTGCTAGTTAGGATCTGGGATGCGTATCCCCAGGGAAAAAAAAAAAAAAGCCATGTGGACAGAAGTCAGGGATTCCTGGCATAGAAGTCACTCCTCACTCATAGGGCCGCTGCCTGATGCCACCTACATATGTGCCTTTAGAAACACATGTACCTTGGCTGTCCCCTGAGCCAGTCCTCCCTCTGGTGAGTATTTCCTCTGCAAAGGGCAGTGTCTGTCACCAGGTCCCTGAGCCTTTGCTGCAGACCCTTCGGCTCTGCAGAACCTTTTGGGACTCCCCTCCCCCCCAACACACAAGAACCCCTATCTCCTGTAGACTTTCTCTGAGTCCTTGGATTCTCCCGTGGGCTGAATGTGCTAATAGGACAGTGAACGGTACCGGTCAATTAGGCAGAATCACGTCTCAAAACATTATCAACTTTAAATCTTAAATTACTAAGAAAATTACTAATGTGTGAGCATGACTATCTTTGTGCACTTATCAGGTGATTTTTTTCTCGTGGAACTTGATGACATGGGGCTCTAGCAGGGCAAAGAATCACCAGCAATGGTTCCTCTTAATTTTGCACTAGAGGTGCTTTGAGCAATGGCTGAGAAGGAATGTGGGTAGTAATCTGATTTTTATTTGTCAAGTCCAGCAGCACATCTCATAGTCTCTCTTAACAGTTATTATCTGGAAGCCATCAATTTTATTACCTAGGGCAACTGCAGAGTAGAACCCAGAAGAAACATTTTCTCTATTTGCAGCGGGTAGACTGGTTTTGCTTTCAAGTGTTTGCATTATTAAACTAAGCCCTTTGTACCAGAGTGATATTTTTTATTTTTATGCCTGTTTTCCCTAACACTTCTGTATGCCAAGTATATGAGAGGCAGCATAGTACTGGGGTTAGGACCACAGCCTTCAGAGCCAGACTGCCTGAGTGTGAATCCCACCCAGCTCTGCCACTCATCAGTTCTGGGACTTTGGTGTATGTGTGTGTGTTTTTTTTAAAAGTTTTTATTTATTTATTCATGAGAGACACAGACATAGGCAGAGGGAGAAGCAGGTTACCCACGGAGAGCCTGATGTGGGACTCAATCCCCGGACCCCAGATCACGACCTGAGCCAAAGGCAGATGCTCAATCACTGAGCCAACCAGGTGCCCATTTCTGGGACTTTGGATGAGTTTTGTCCTCTACAGGTCAGCTTCCTCACCCATAAAGCAGGACAAACCTCATTGATTTAATGCAAATAAAGCATAAGATCAGTCTCTGGTGTATACAGGTAGTCCTCAACAACTGTGTTGGAGGTCATTTGTATGTCCTTTGAGTCACTCAGCAACCCTACCGCTTGGTAGGGCCGAAGTTATTCCCACCTAACGGGAGAAAACAAGACTACGGCATGCATGATAAAGCTGGCATCAGATCCCTTTGACCCTCAGTCCTGGGCTTGTTCCCTGACACCACACTTTCCTCCTCCTGTTCCCACAGAGAGAAGAGGGCAAGCAGAAATGAGAAAAGAAGAGAAATACATCTATAAAAAAGAAGCTTCCCACTGTGGTTATGATCAGACCCAAACTCCCTCAAACGACCTGACAAGCTGCAGCGTGTCCCAGCCTGGTCCCCACTCTCCCCTGAGCACTCCAGCCACCCCAGACTTCTCTCCATCCTTCAGGCTTATCCTCCTCAGGGCTTCTCCTGCCAACTCCTACTCAGCCTCCAGGTCTAGGTGTAAACAGCACTTCCTCGAGGACAGTTAGGGTGTGGGTCTGGCTGTGTGCTAAGAGATCCAAATGAACACTGGCTGAAATAGTGATAGGCCTTTTCTTCTCCCTGATGGAAAAGTCCTGGCTGACTGGTGGCTCTGTCGTGCAAAGGGAGCGTCATGCTCCTTTTATCTGGTCTTTCCATCATCCCCAGGTAGGAGATGAGCTCAGAGCTGGGCACGGGACAATGCAGGGTTGCTCAGGCCATGTTCAGGACTTAGCCGTTTATCCCCAATGAGATGTGATGCCACTGGGGGACTGAGCAGAGGGCTGATGTGCTTATATTCCAGTGAGGTCACTTGCAGGTGTGCAGAGGAAAGACTCAAAGTAGAAAGGAGTAAGAACTGGGAGGCTCTTAGAACAGTCTCCACGAGGGGTACCTGGTTAAGTATTTGATTTTTGATTTCGGCTCAGGTCATGATTTTCAGGGTAGTGAGATCAAGCCCTGTGTGGGGCTCTGCACTGAGTGTGGAGCCTGCTCGAGATTCTCTCCCTCTGCACCCCTCCAACCTCCCACATACTGCTTGTGAGCTCTATTTTAAAAATAAATAAAATTTAAAAAAGTCTGGGTGAGAGCTGGTACAGGTTTGGACTATGCTGGTAGTCACGGGGAAGAGTGCACTTGGATGTATTCTGAAGGTGGGGCCAATAGCATTTGCTTGGGTTGGACGCAGGGCAGAGGAAAGAGAGGTCAGGTTTATAGCAACGGAGAATGGGAGCACATCCAGGAGATGGGGAATAGATGGGGACAAAGGTTCTCTTTGGGACATACTATGTTTGAGGGTGCCTGTTCCCCACCAATGTGCTTCAGCCCATTTGTGCATTTTGA